ACAGTTTCAAGGTCATGTTGCTCGTATGTGTCAGTCTTGGGCCTCTAACCAGGTCTCACAACTCCTTTCTGTCAGTCACTGGCATGAACATCTAGTGGCTTCCCATGGACCATTCTGATCGTCAGACTGTGTTCCCTTGGGACATTGGTGTCATCATAATCAGACTCTGGCCATTCCTCTGCTAATGCTGCATGTGATGATTGCTTCAGAACTTGCAGAAAACAATTAGCTAATGGGAGGGTAGATTTTTGCTGTTTTCTGTCCTCCCATGTATATATTTTTAAAGTTTTTGTGCTTGCTACAACTTATTGCTATGGACAGCGGATTTCAGAACAAATATTGAACACCACTATCTCCAGGGTAAGTTTAGCAGCTTGTATTTTAAGGACTCATATAATTACTATTGTAATTTTTATCTTGCATACAAGTTGGTGGTCATTTTTGTTAGACATTCATAAATATTTAGAGGAAGCCTAAGCTGTAGTAGGCAATCGTGCTTGGTTCTGGGACTGCAAGGAATAAGATTCCATTTCTTCCCACAAACGGCTTATAGTTTAGGTTAGAAATGGGAACATAAGTGGTTGGCAGTGATCAGTTCTCCTTGAGCAAGAGAAGCAAGAAAGAGATGACATCTGAGCTGAATTTTACAGATGAGTATGTTTTTCTATACATAAAAGATGAGACTGAAATAAGCAAGCATTCATTAGGCAAATGGAAGAAGCCATTCTAATGAGAGAACTTTGAATGAAGCAACAGGAGGGTATGAAAAGGTCTGTTATATCCAGGTACTTAATAGCAGCTCAGGGTGGCCAGAGGTGTGTGAATGGGGCCATAATGGAAGATTGGGGTAGAGAGCTGTCAGGGATCCAGTCAAGAATGGTCTTCTTTGTTTATAATAGGAAGTATGGATTTAATTCTTTAGACAGTGGGAAAGCCATTAAAATGTTGAAGCAAGAAAATAACAAAATGACTGGAGTAGTGGATTTTTATTATTTTTAAAAAACTATTCTTTAGTAAAGAAGGGTAGACTGGATTTATGGTCAATGTGGAGTCGGGGAAACCACTTAAAGGCCTGAAATAACTATAGCTAATAGAGATGGACAGGAACAAGTATCTAAAGACATTTGATGATGGATTGGATTGAGGAGGAGAAAGAATCGAGATTGATTCCCTGGTTTGTATCTTGTGTGACTAGGCAGATAGGTTTAAGACTCCTCTTGCTGGGGAACACGGAATGGAAAGAATCTGGGAAGAACTGTGATGAGTTCTGTGTGGATAGGTTGATTCAGGGACCTGTTAGACACCCAGTAGTAGGTTATAGGATACATTGGGTTGCACATTAAATTTTGGGAGTCATCACCATATAATTAAAGCCACTGAAGTGATGAGTTGCCCACAGAGAGCATTTAGAGCAGTTCTTAACTTGGAATCCAAATAGCCTGAAACTACCCAAAATATTATATGTGACTTTTGTTAAGGAAAGGCCCACAGCTTTCTTCAGATTCTCAAAAGGGATAAACATTTGTTTAGTGTGAAAAGGGACTAAGGACAGAGCCCTTAGTACTACAGCTGTGTAGATTTTAAGTGATGGGAAGGATATGGTTTCAGCAAGGAAGGCAGAAAAGGAACAAGAGTGTTGAGAGAATCGTGACAGCAAAGCCTAAGGAGAATTGTCAAGAAGGTGAGGACTAAAGAGTCGTTGGCTGGGCAATTAGAAGATAGTAAAATTATTCCTGATAAATAGTATGGAATTAAATGTATTTGTATTTAATGAAGCTCCCCACAGAAACATGGTTTCTAAGAACTATAATAATAAACACTGGCTTATTAAAAAAAGCCTTAGTCAAGTGTCCAAGGCTATCTTAAATTTGTTCTTGCCTTGCCTTTACAGTTTTTTCTAAAGATTTTGTTTGTTTTTAGAGAGACGGAAAGGGAGGAGAAAGAGGAAGAGAAACATCAATATGTAATCAAAAGAGAAACATCCATTGGTTGTCTCTCGCATACCCCCCAAACCAGGGCCCTGGCCCACAACCTAGGCATGTGCCCTGACTAGGAATTGAATCAGCAACCCTTCAGTCTGCAGAACGATGTCCAAGCCACTGAGCCACACCAGTCAGGGTGCCATTACAGTTTTATCTCTTTCATATCTGAACTTCAAAGCTAGCCAAATCCATCTCTTCATGTTTTCTGGATACTTCATGCAAATCTTAGCTTCATGAAGGCTTTTGCTCATGTTTTTCAGCCTTCCCGCCCTGTCCCTTACCTAACAAATTCTATCAGTCTTTCTCACATGAAGTTTATTCTACTTCCTCTGAATTCTCATTGATCTGTTTTCATTTCCCTCTTAATAGTTTAGTGTTTATCGTATTACTTGTGTTTACAGTTAAAATTGTACTGGTTTGCGTTATTACTTATTTTACCTGCTACTACCCTTCTTTTCCAATGAGATTTTACCCCTAAAGACTAGTATTACTTTACATTTCATCACACCCTCTAGTGACTGAATTTTCACATATTAAGAGTAACTTATGGACCATTATTTTGACTGTATTCCATTTCTGTGGGTAATCAAGAGTTGATTGTATATCAGAATGAATAAGATATGAGTCTTATAAAACTTTGGCTTTTATTTGGAATGTAGGGTATTGAATCAATTGAATTAAGTCAAACCATTTTGTGCTATTTTTCAAAGTGGAAATATCTTTTTTGGATTGAAAAATATGCATATAAAATAAAACTACAAAGTAGAAATTACATATTACTAATATTTCTACACTATTTTACAAAGATACTCATGTTTTGTAAACATCTTTACCTTCCATAAATTAAGTAACTGTGTGGTTAAATGCAAAACTTAGTCACTAAAAATGCAAGTAGCATTATTTTGAAAACAAACTTCAGTGTTATAGTGTTTTTAGTTTTGCTGAATGATGAATGATCTTAATCATCTGACTTAAAGCTGGTGTTTCTGTTTCTTTCAGTGTTTGCTGGCAACTTTGACATAGCCCAGAGCTATAGTAGGAAAAACTGTAACAGGAAAAAAAGACAAGCAAGGTTTCATTGCTTTATTCTGGAATCAGAGAAATTAAAAACTTTTATAGTTAAGGGGAGTGGAGTCAGATACTGCCAAGTGTGTCTCATTGTTGTTGAGCAGCTGTCTGCTAACAACAGCCCCACATTTTAGTAGTTACCCGGCAGAAGGGAGAAAGCCATGTTGCGTCTTAGCCAACCTGACTAACATGTATGTCCAGGCTTGTTTTGTTTTGGGGGGATCACAATATAGATTTCTGTGGAAGTACAGTTTTGGTGCATATTCTCACACCACAATTTAACCACTTTTTTAAAACAAAACATTTTGACTTTTTATAAAGAAGCAAAGTTTTTTTAATTCACAAGCATTACTGTTTATTGAACAGAAATACATAAAACACTGGGATGAAGACAGTGGGGAGAAAATAAGCTCTCACTCTTCGAAGCCCCCTCAGTGCTCCTCAGCCCGATTCGTGCCTCCTTAACACGTCTGACGCCGCCGCGCTTCCTAGATCTTCCCATTGTTTGGCATTTCCCAGTGATGAACATAAAGCAGCTGTCATGGTCATCCTTACTTTATAATAAAAACTTTATTTACAATTTCAGGGAAAAATAAATGTGTCCCAATTAAGTTTTTATCAGTATCTACGAATTAAAATAACTAAAAATTATAGAATGCAGTTTAATCACTTTTCATACATGAGAAGGTATTTTACCCAAGGGCACATGTAGATGTTGGTTATTCAAGAGGACAAAAACTAAATATTGAGACTTTGCTTCAGAAGTTTTTTGATTATACACACACTCGACTGCCTTTTTAAAGAGAAATGTGGCATGGCATTCTCGACTTTAAGGGGAGAAAGCACAGGCAGGTCACTGGGGTAGGAAGGCAAGAACACAGGCACCTCAGTGGTCAACAGTGGGATGAGGGATAAAGCAAAATATTTTGATTTTTGGTAGCTTGAATGCCAACCTAAAGCTACCTAATCCAGTCATGTTTTAGTCTAAAAAAGGTAAGAATTCTCTGGAATCATGCTGTCTGATAGAAACATAATACGGCCTACAGATGTATAATTGAAAATTTCCTAGTAACCATGTTAAAGTAACAGGACGCAGGTGTAATTGCCTTCAATCATATATCTGATCTAATCTAGTAAATCCAGTATATCTCAGTGTGTAATCAAAAATTTTTTAAAGTGTATATTATACTTAAAGCAGATCTCAAGTTTAGACTAGCCATATTTCAGGTGCTTGATAGCTACATGTGGCCAGTGACTGTATTGGACAATGTATATCTAGAACATCTAGGCTTTATGTGCCCATGACATTGAGAAACAAAACTACTCTCGTATCTACTATAAAATATTAAGTTACAGACCTTTAGCAGGATGTCCAACCCGCAGCCTGTGGGCCGCATGCAGCTGAGGATGGCTATGAATGTCGCCCAACACAGAATCATAAATTTACTTAAAACCTTTTTTTTTTTTGCTCCTCGGTTTTTGTTAGTGTTTGTGTATTTAGTGTGCCCAAGACAACCCTTCACCCAGTGTGGCCCAGAAATGCTAAAAGGTTGGACACCCCTGCTAAAGGATACCTACATCTATGATGGCCAAATAAGCCTCTCATCTAGATTAGTTTTGGGACTGGCCATTTGCATGATCAAGAGAAATACTTTTTTGTTCAGCCTAGTCACTGGTAAAATACTTGTGAATTTCAGTACTTTTTCTGTAGGTGCAATTCTTTTGCCTGTGGTCAAGCATATTCTGCCACATCTAAATTCTATAAATATTTTATGTAATATAAAGAAAAGGTTTTATTTTTATGATCTGTACATTAATTGCTGAAAATTTCTGACTTTATATATTCTGAACTTTATTTAGAAAAATGAGAATGGATACCTTGCTTTTTACAATGTTATTTAAATAATTGGGACTGTCATATCTGATTTGCATTTTCTTTTGTATTTTAAGGATATGGAATATTATCTTGTAAAATGGAAAGGATGGCCAGATTCTACAAATACTTGGGAACCTTTGCAAAATCTCAAGTGCCCATTACTACTTCGGCAATTTTCTAATGACAAGCATAATTATTTATCTCGGGTAAAGAAAGGCAGAGCAGTAACTCTAAACAATAACAAAGCTTTGAAACCTGCCATTGCCGAATACATTGTAAAGAAGGCTAAACAAAGAATAGCTCTGCAGAGATGGCAAGATGAACTCAACAGAAGAAAAAATCATAAAGGAATGATTTTTGTTGAAAATACTGTTGACTTAGAGGGCCCACCTTCAGACTTCTACTACATTAATGAATACAAACCCACTCCTGGAATCAGCTTAGTAAATGAAGCTACCTTTGGTTGTTCATGCACAGATTGCTTCTTGGAGAAATGTTGTCCTGCTGAAGCTGGAGTTCTTTTGGCTTATAATAAAAACCAACAAATTAAAATCCCACCTGGTACTCCCATTTATGAATGCAACTCAAGATGTCAATGTGGACCTGACTGTCCCAATAGGATTGTACAAAAAGGCACACAGTATTCACTTTGCATCTTTCGAACTAGCAATGGCTGTGGCTGGGGTGTAAAGACCCTTGTGAAGATTAAAAGAATGAGTTTTGTCATGGAATATGTTGGAGAGGTACGTTCAACTTACAGAACACATAATGTCCATGGAAGGATTATGCTTTTGAAAAGTTACCTGTTTACCTCAGTGACAAACAGTTGGTAAATTTTGATATTATCATTTGCAAATATGCAGACATTTCAGATTTAAGAGAGGGGTTCACTAGCATAGAAATATAAACTTGAATATAAACAAAAATATGAAAAAGATAGAAACATGAAAAAAATGAAATAGTCATTTTTCAATGAACACCCATTTATAGTCCATAGAACTGGCATTTGTAAATTTTAAAGTAACAACTATTTTTACACAGAATTCCTAAGAAGAAAATTAGGTCTAAACACACGCTGACTTTGAAACTTTTAAACTGTAATTTACTTCATCCTTTTGACCAAATATTGGGTTAAGTGTAGTTGCCAAAACTCAATTTTGTCTCAACTTGAAAACTACTATATAATAGACCAGTGCTTTATGGGCAAGAGTTGTAGGACAAACATAAAAGCATTTATTATGTCCATAAGAAAATACAAACTCTTTGTAACTCAGCTACAAAGACTATTTCCTATATAACCAAATTTTTAAATATATATATGTACACATACAAAAGTAGTATTTACCCTGTGCCACATATTATTCTAAGCACCTTATGTACTAACACATTAATTTTTCCCAGCTCTGAGGTAGTGGCATTGTCTCCATTGTTATAGGCAAGAAAACAGGCACAGAGATATTAAGCACATTGCCCAAGGTCACACGGTAGTCAAGAAGAGCCAGAATTCAAAATCAAGGCTCCAGAATCAGTGCACTTCACCACACTTCCTCAAACTGAAGGGTGGGTTAAACTGTGACTAGAAAGGCATGAGTATGACTGTGAATCCAGGGCTGTAAAATCTGACATTTTAAAAGTTGTTTGAATTGGACCACTTAATTCAAAGATTAAATTGGATCCCTGTATTGATCCTTCTATATTTAGATGATGGCAGATTACTATAAATCACTATTTCGGATACTAGATCTTACACAACTATTCTCTTTTTTGGCTTCATGAATGCACAAGCTAAATTTTGGTTGACACAATAAGTGACTAGATATTTTTGATTTCTTAAGCTGATCACGTGGTAAAGCTTTGTTGTTTAGAACAGAACTGTAAGTGATGGTTTTTCAGCTGCCAAATTTCATGAAAACAACCTATTCTATGAAATGAAATTTTCCATTATTTGACTGCAAATTTAACATACCTTCTCTTCTATATTTGTAACAAAATTTCATTTGTAACTGCACCCAGATTAGTTATATGAAAAATATCCACTTAAAGCATATATACTTATAAACTAGTCCTTTATATTCTGTTATATCCTATGAAGAGCTATAGTTATGTAGCTTTTTTAACATCTCAGTAATTTAGAATGAGAGTACTGCATGGTTTCAACTTGTCAATTGTTCAGTTGTCCTAATTCCTCTTTAAACAGCTATAATTGTTTTGTACCATCATGTCTCCTCCCTTGTTCTCCCACCTCTTTCTGTCAAGTTCTTCTGGAGTCATTTGTGTGGATGTGTGCTTTTTATATATTTGTAGGCACTAGTATGTTGATTAATTGAATTATGGATGAGAGCTTCTTTAGTTCAGCAATAGCTATAGAATATACTATAGTTTTTTCTTTTTAGGTGATCACAAGTGAAGAAGCTGAGAGACGGGGACAGTTATATGACAACAAAGGAATCACATATCTGTTTGATCTGGACTATGAATCTGATGAATTCACAGTGGATGCAGCTCGATACGGAAATGTATCTCATTTTGTGAATCACAGTGTAAGAAATACTTAAAAGTATAGACAGGCCTGATTAACTTAGTACTGTGTTTAATGCTTTTCCATAGTTGAGGATATATTTGAACCACAGAGTCTTTTAGTGTATTCAGAGTATTTTAGGACAACAGTCTCTGCTGTTAAGTCATGACTACTGCTCTATTAGGAAAACTCAAAATGTAAATAGCATGAATTTTGCAAGTCTTACTTATGTTACTTCATTTAAACTTTTCGGCAACATTTTAAGATAGGTATTATCCTCATAGAGGGGGAAATTAATGAGCATAGGAGTTAAGGGGTAGAAAGTAGAATGTTTTAAGAAACACACAATTACATAGGTTTCGTACAAAAGTTTACACAGCTAAATTTTAGGATATATAACTAAAGATAGTTGTAGTCTCTAACATTTTTATAAGATTTAAAAATTTGTAGAGTATTGAAGTATTTAGGGCTATTTTTTTTTTTAATCTTCTTTTAAAGATTTAATTTATTTTTAGATAGAGGGGAAGGGAAGGGGAAAGAGAGGGAGAGAAACATCAACGTGTGGTTGCTTCTCACACACCCCCTATTGGGAGCCTGGCCCACCAAACCCGGCACGTGCCCTGACTGGGAATCGAACCGGTGACCATTTGATTTGCAGGCAGTCCCATAATCCACTGAGTCACACCAACCAGGGTTTAGGACTATTTTTCTAAATTTTACTTTAGCACTCTTTTTTCTTTTTAAGATTTTATTTATTTTTAAGAAGGGGGAGAGAAAAAAATATCAGTGTGTAAGAGATGCACCAAACAGTTGCCTCTCACACAAACCCAACTGGGGATCCCACCTGCAACCCAGGCATGTGCCCTGACTGGGAATCAAGCCAGCCACCTTTCACTTTGCAGGACCACCCGCAACCTGGCCACACCAGTCAGGGCTAAATTATAAATTAATATTCTTAATTTGTGTTGGAAAAAAACTTAGAATACAGCTGGGACCTTAACCCCAGAATGTTATACTGTAAAGACTATTTCCAAAACTAAGGGAGGTTAATAGTTATTGGGCACCTAATGCATGCCATGCAGATAACATAGTATTAGTCCTGTGAGGTTGATATCTCCATTTTATAGATTAAAAGGAAATGTATTTCAAGGAATGAGTTATATAGCTGACCATATAAGGTAGTAGACTGTGTTAAATTTTCTGTGGATTTTACACCTAGACTAATTTATGACTAGTGGTGAAATGCCAGAGACCTTCTGACTCCCTTGTTAGCTTTCTGATTTACTTAAACTTTAATTTTGTTCTTAACAATAAATTTGAGATACTCTCAAAATAGATGTATTCTATTTGAGGACAATTAAATACTTATTTTGGGCTCTTAGTATTATTGACTGGATCTTTCTTGTTACATATTCCAGAATTGAGCGTAGAGTTCTCCAAATATCAAACAATTCCAAACACCAATTTAAGCAATGAAACCCATGCAATATGAAGTTTGAGTTCTACAATTCTAACTTGACTTTTTAAATGCAGTTCTAATTCTTTAAGTGTGCCTTACTGATATATTAACAGGTGAAGTGATAATGTTACCTGGGATTTGCAGTAACATTCTTCAGAAAAATTTAAAAGTCAGGAATAGATAAAACAAAATTGGCAAAAATGTTAATAACTGTTGAAGCTGCATAGTGGATACATGTGGACTTAATATTGTTTTCTCTACTTTTATGTATGTCTGAAATTTTCTGTAAGTGAAAACAGTATTTTTAAATGTGCATGTCTCAGAGACCTCTAAATAATCAACTTAATTTCCCGTATATCTTAAAAAACAAATCCTCTGGGGAATTGAAAATTTTAAATGGCATGAGAAGAGCTCACTCGTGTCATTTTTACTTAAATGGGTTCTCATGTTTTCTTTTTAGTGTGACCCAAATCTTCAGGTGTTCAATGTTTTCATTGATAACCTCGATACCCGTCTTCCCCGGATAGCGCTGTTCTCCACAAGAACCATAAATGCTGGAGAAGAGCTCACTTTCGATTATCAAATGAAAGGTATGGCTTTCAAATATAGTTCCATTGGTGGTGTTTTAGTATGAGGAGTCTGTTGGAGAATGCCTCAGATCATCTGAACCAAATGATATATTAAAGATGAAAAAACTGAGCTATAAGAGTGTCTTTTTACTCAAGGTCTTAGGGCCAACCCAAAAACTAAAACTGGAATCCAGTTATCCCTGACCTTGAACTGAGTAATGTCATTTCTTCTACATCACTATTACCACCTGCTTTTCTCAGAACTTCCATTATGGAAGCTTATTTATTTGAAAACATCCTTTTTCAACACAGAGAGAGATGTATTTAAAAAATTGTAAACCTACATTTCTGAATCTTTACTAAGAGGTGGATATTCAAAATATTTAAAATGTGATTTAAATCACACATGAACTTATTACTACATTCTTACTGGAATTTGACTTTTTAAAAAATATTTATTTATTTTTAGAGAGAGGGAAAGGGAAGGAGAATGAGTGGGAGAGAAACATCAATGTGTGGTTGCCTCTCATGTGTCCCCCACTGGGGACCTGGCCTGCAACCCAGGCATGTGCCCTGACTGGGAATGGAACCAGCGACCCTTTGCTTCACAAACCCATGCTCAATCCACTGAGCTACACCAGCCAGGGTGGAATTTGACTTTTAAAAAGAACATTTAGTTGTATTTGCTTTATTGTGATACTATAAATATTTTCTTTCCATTGTCTTGCTAATAAGCATGGTGTCTTTTACATATTGTTACTACTTGATTTCACTTTATGCTCTTAAAAAGTATAAGCAATAAATGATTGTATATTGGATTTTCCCAGTAACTTCCATCACTTCAGAAATCCATTCTTATAAACGTGGGTTAATCACACTCACTTTACCTCTCATTAGCCCACGTCATTCTTTCAAGGAAATTCACAATGATTTGTCTCTGAATATTCACATTTAAATGTTTAAAGCTGATAGAAAATTTGAAACTCATACTGAATTGTCTTAACTCTCTTTCTGCTGTATTTCTTTTTCTACATACTCAGGTTCTGGGGATATATCTTCAGACTCTATTGACTACAGCCCAGCCAAAAAGAGAGTGAGGACTGTGTGCAAATGTGGAGCTGTGACTTGCAGAGGTTACCTCAACTGAATTTTCAGGAAATAAAGCTGAGGATAATTGTAGTTTTGTTTTCCAATGTTAACATTTTTAAAATAAATATTTGGGACCCTTTTCATATTATGAAGATTATACTCTTATGTTAATTTACAATGCCTGTTTCAAACCATTGGCCAAAATGCATTACTGATGCTTCTGAAGAGAGGAACATAGGGTCACATAGACCAATTTGAAATATACCTAATTAGTGGTTAGATGTCAAACAAGCAAGGAAAACTAGCACAGGTCAGCATACACATACTTAAGAAGTCTGTGTAAATAGAGAAATGCCTCCTTCAGTCTTCTAAGTGTTAATCTGATTTGTTACACGATAAGATCAAACGTTCAAGTTGCCATACACCTTGAATTTAGAAAAATAGGTAATTTAGTTTAGGCAAAAAGTTCTATTTTTGTTATGTTACTATTCCTGTTTACCTATTTATTACTGTAAATATTATCCTTGTATTGGAGACATATAGGTGATACTGAATTATACCCTATTTTCTACTTTCATTAAAACATTGAGAGCTTGATACAGAAATTTAAGGTCTAAAATTAAACATGAGAAAATTAATTGCAGCTCAATTTCATATTTTGAAGCAAGTCAAAGCAAGTCTTTCTTTGTAGAAGAAAAATCTTCAAAAGGTCTCCAAGAGGCATAATGGCCTCTTGGAAATGACACAGCAGTGGGACCAAAAAGGTGCTTTGGCGTTGCAGGCGCGGGAAGGGGGCTGCTCCAAAGGCCCCTTTCAAAAGCGTTACGTGGAGACCCATGTTTAGTGCCTCTGGTCTAAAGAGTGCTTGAAGCAGGAGGCCCCTGAAAGCAGCCATGTTCCACACATCAACACTATGGGTTCTGGAGGCAGACTTTTTAACATTTCCTTTCCACCAGATTTAACTATTTTTATATTTCCTGCAAGCTCTTCTTTAAAATAATTTATATTTTGAGCTAATACTTATTTTATATATGAATTTTATAAATGTGATAAAGCTAAACTTGGCTTGGCCAAAGTGTGTGCCTGAATTATAAGACCATTTATTACTTGAACTATGAAGACTGAAATGGAATATATTCATTGTTTTGTTTGTTTTCCTGCATAGTAAAACCACAATCAGGAAAAACGGTTTTCACCTCTTTCTGATTCTTGGTTTTCTAATCATAGTGGCCAACATAAAGGTAATTGCAGCCAATAAATCCAGTTCTCAGTATTCCTAAGCTCATTGCCCCAGACTTTAATGACCTAAAATAAGCTTGAGTAAACTGAACTGACTTCACAAATGCATCATGTCAAATATCTTAACCCTTAAACTTCTTTTTTGGGGAGAAGCTACACTTCACTTCAGTATTATATTGGTATTACTTGACTTTGCTCTTTCATAATATAGGGTAAATTGTTTACGTTTGGAGCCTCAAAGTATATCTACTAACCAAAACGTGCAGAAGGTATCAGGAAAACATACATTTTTTGGTGCCGTTTCATGTTTCTTTATGAAACAATAGTCACATGGTGTCAGGTGAGACAGCATCATTGATTTTACAGGTTGCTCCCAGTGGCCAAGCACATTTTGAATTATAATTGGTAAGTTTAAAGATATAATTTTCACGTTCTTTTTTAAAAAGTCAGTGTTTTACTGTCTAGTAACTTAATCTTGTCTACTTTTTGTTCTATAATGTAAAACTGGAGGGCAAAGGGAAAATGGCTATTTCCAGTCAACTTGTTTTGTCTTGTTTTGCCCATACAAATTTAATGGGCTTTTGAGACTTCAATTATCTGTGTTAACCTTATGTTATTAAAAAGCTGAACTTAGGCAGTAAAATAATAGAAACTTTTTAAAAATGAAGCTGTTAGGAGCATTAACCATTTAAAATCAACATTTAGCTTCTTTACATTAGTTGCCTAAATTGTCAGAGTTTATTTTCAGTATAAAGCAAATATTCAAGGGCAATATTTAGATCAAGTTTAAACTGCCAATCCACTGTACAAGTTGTAATAATACCACTGTCTTCAGTAGATACTGAAGTAGATACATATGAGGATTGTGATACACAATTGGTAATCTCAGGGGTTTTTTTCATACATGCAAAATATCAATAGCACTTATTATAGTTCAACAGTTTTAATTTAGCAAATAAATCTAGTTTGGCATTTGATTTTCTATTTATCACGTGTTAGCTTTGTTTCTAATTATCTTACTATCTTTCCCAGGAAGGCTACGAAAAGGGGGGGAAATACTGATGTATTCCTGACTGCCTGCTATTGAGATTAACCAAAGGTTTATATACCATTCCTTTCAAACTTTTCTTTTGAAAAAGTTTATTGTCACAGTTCATACATTTGGATATTAAAGTATAATTTTACACTTAGCATAATGTGGATGGATATTTCTAAAAATTTTGATCATTATTTGTCACCATGTATTTAAACCAATTTTGCTAAGTACTGCCTAGAACTGCAAAGGAATTTTAGAATTAGAACTAATATTTCTTGAGCAAGTCTTAGGCCTTTATATGTAATCATGTGCTTCTCCTAAATCTGTGAGGTAGGTGCCGTCATCCCTACAGTAAACTGGAGGAAGTAGGTTGCAGCTGGTTAGGTAACAAGATCACCTAGCTAGGAGGCAGTAAACTACACCTATTCTTAATGAATTTAGCCAAATTCAGGCAGTTTTTTAAAAACCAATTTCTACTGGTAGTTTAAACAAACTTCTAAGCCTTGGATTCTTCTCTAAGGCAAATGTGGGTAGCCACTGAGTTTCTTCTCTGATATACATACCATGGCACTTTGAAAGTTTTTTCCCTTCCATTTTATACTTTATAGTTCAAGTAAAGTAGTCACTATAATTAATCCTGCCCACCCTTAAGCTCTTTTTGATAGGCCTTATTGCATGGTGGTGAAGAGCATGGACTCTGGGGCCTGAGTTGCCTGTATTGGATTCCTGGCTTCACCCTCTACTAGCTGTGTGAACTAACCTCTCAGTGCCTTAGCCTCCTTATCTGTGAATGGGGATAACAAATGTATCTACCTCAAAGGGTGCTGTGAGGATTAAAGGAGGTAATATACAGTATGTAAAAGAATTAAGCATTATCACAGAGTAAGTACCATATTAAGCATTAGCTATAATTATTCTGTACTTTAAGTATGGTTTATAAAGTACCTGTACTTTAACCAGTACAGGTTTATACATTTGACCCTTGAACAACACAAGTTTGAACTTGGGGGTCCATGGATAAGTTCAAACCCATGTTCAAAGGTCAACTGTACTTACTTAAACATATTTTGTGACCCAAGTCTGTTCTAATGTTCTTAGCCCTTAAATTCATTCAGCCAGCATTTATTATGCTAGATTCATATATAACACAATGAAAATGTGGCAGTATACAGTATTAAATTGATGGTGTGATCATAAAATGCTAAGAATATATTCAGAAGAATGTTTATAGGCATGTTTTGAACACTGCCCCATCCCTTGGATCATAAGCTATACTATTAAGATGAAATCTTAAGTGTCAGTATATACAAATTATATATTTGATTACATGATTTATGATAATGAACTAAAACAAATTTTTAGAGCTATAAATAAAATATGAAGTCTCTGGGTTTCAGTAATGGGCCTATTGTAGTTATTACCAGATATTCAACAAATGAATGATCTGCAGTCTTCATTGGTTCTCTCTAGAGCCTTTATATTCACTTGGAATTCAGGAAGTAGTACTCAGACTACTACTGGGCAAAATGGAATGACTACAACTCTAGCCCTGCCCCGTATATTAAGTCTGCAGATTGTAATTCATCCAAAGCTCAGAGCAGCAGCTGATCAAGGGAAAAAGGTTCAGCATTCCCATAAAGCTCCTAGTGTCCTTCCTTATACTCTTTTGCTCCAGGTACCTTACTGTGCTGAGACCATTCCCATCAGTGTAGATGTTGATAAAACACTGTTGAGTAATTCAGGGTAGATACTTCCCTAAAATTGTGACCCAGCATGTCCTTACCAATCAGAAATGATCAGGTCCTTAGTCTCAGCCCTATCCCTTATAACGATGTCAGTGTCTTCCCCTCATCCCTCCTCTTGTGTCACTTTCTTAGTTGAATGCAAAGTCTAGGTGCCACTGTCTAATTTTTCCCCATGTAAATGGACAGGGGCAAATCTGTCCTCCAACATTTGGGAATGGAATATTCCCTTCTGGAAAAGTGAGGACTGGCTTCCTGGTCCTCTTGGCTTTGCTTCCTCTGAGTACCCGGTTATTTTCCTCTCCCCCTAACTATAAGTCTTGTTCCCTAATTAGTCTTGTGGATCCAATACTTACTGTTGGTCTAATTACCTTGCAGCATAGTGATAACGCATATCTTGTTAGTGGAATTGATAAACGTTGTTTTTAGAGACTACTTAAACTAGTTTTAAGAGAAATCTCAGCTTTTGTTACATTAATTTACAAAATGTCAGCATACTAAAGTGCTTGTTAATGAGTTAATAAAACTATATAAAATCCACATGTATACTGTGCAAAATCATATCCTATTGATGGACTTTAGGAAAGTTGAATGACTCATAGAACACATGTATACTTTGGCCATTTAATTATTTTCCTTTAGGTCCTAAATTTTGTAGTTTTAATTTTGCCATTGTATTCACACCAACATTCGTAAATTCTGTAACATCTCTTGAGTTAAGTAGGGGGCTGGCTTTTCCCATAGCCATCAGTTTATAGTAATAGGTCCAAGTTTTTATTCTTTCAGTTTGAAGTGTTTTTATGACCTAGTATATGATCTATCTTGGCGAATACCCCATGTCCTCTTGAAAAACATGTATTTTCTTGTTGGATAGAGTATCAGTGAGATTCATTTGGTAGATGGTCTTGCTGATTTCCTGTAAACTAACTGTTACTGTGAGAGGAATGTTAAAAGTCCCAACTATAATAGTGCATTAGTTTCTCCTCTTAGTTGTTTGTGCTTTGTACAGGCATACCTCGTCTTACTGCGCTTCACAGCACATTCTATAGTGCGTTCTCATCAACATCGAGACAAGACCCTCCACCAGCAAAGGCTACAACTTGCTGAAGGCTGAGGTGATGGTTAGCATTTTTTAGCAAAGTATTTTCAAATTAAGGCATGCTGGGTTTTTTAGACATAATGCTATGCACACTTAATAGACTGTAATATAGTGTAAACATAACTTTTATGTGCACTGGGAAACCAAAAGTTTCATTGACCCGCTTTATTGTGATTTTTGCTTTGTTGCAGTGGTCTGGAACCCAGTCTGCAATCTCTCTGAGGTGTGCCTGTATATTTTGAAGCTGTTATTAGGTACATACACATTTAAAATTGTATCTTCTTAGTGAACTGCACCTCTTATTGTCACTCCACCTGTCATGGTATATTTCCCATCCTTTTACTTTTAGCCAACCTATATCCTGTGAAGTGAGTTGTTTGTTGATAGCATATAGTTGGGTTATGTTTTATTTTTCCAGACTGTCTTTTCATGGGTGTGTGTAGGCCATTTTCATGTAATGTAATTATTGATCTATTTGGATTTAGTCCTAACATATTGTATTTGTTTTCTGTTTTTTTCCCCTCTTTTTTGTTCCTGTTTCCCCTTTACTCCTTTCTTTTAGGTTATATGAGCATTTTAATTTATCTATTAAGATTTCGACTATTACCTCTTTGTATAGGTTTCTTTAGTGGTGGCTCTGGAATGAATTCTTAAGTATCTAAAAGTGAGCTTTTTCTCTTGTCAAGTACTATACTCTCACCTGTTGCCAGCTTCTCATACAAATACTGTAAATGCTCTCGTTTAGGTAGCTCAGCTTCTGGAGTTGAGGGAATTTCAAAATCAGAGGAGCTCTGTGAGTCTGCATTGGTGCTAAGAGTTGACAACCTTCTTTCCTGAGGTATGTGTTTCCCACTGCTTACAGTAGTTGGTTCTCCAACACTGGGAACTAGAGTTACATCTTCAGAGTAAGAGTCCTTTGGGCAAAGTACATTTTGTTCCATCTGAGAGGTAGGAGGATTCTCTTTGATTTTTGGTTTATAGACGCCTTTGTTCAAGGAAGTCATGTCCCCACTGTTTCTCTCTTGGGAAGATAACAAAACAGTGTCAGGCTGGCTGTCCCAGCCTTGACTTCCTTGTTCTGAGATGTGTGTGGACTGGGAGGAGCTCTGAGAGATGTGAGTTGACTCCCCATCAGAGTCACTGAAAAGCTTTGGCGACTGAGAGCCCCCTCCCTCCGTGGAGGAAAGGAAGTTTTCCAAACCATCATCTGTCATCTCATCATTTCTTTTAAAGAAGACTTCCCACTGTGGTACTTCTGCATCTGCCTTTTGTTGGTGATGTGTAACAGGACACGGATCTCCTTGAAATGATGCTGGGACTTGTGATTCTTCCTCACTTTCACTGTTGGATTCTTCACAGTCTATAAAGTTTGCCCAAAGAGAGGTTTGCATGCTCTCTGCTCTGTTGCATCCTGTTCTCTGTCCTAGTTTTTCAGGCTGGTTTTGTGATACTGCAGTCATTTGAAATACCTTAGGGTGAAGAGTTGGCTGGATTGGAACTTTGTGCCTTAAAGGTACTGGCAGAAGATCATCAAAGAGGTCATGTTCATCATCCTCCTCCTCCTCTGGGGGACAAACCAGGTTCATAAGAAACACACAATGCAAAGGGAACCAACTTGTGTTTTCAATTAAAAATCCAATTTCTAGCATTGTTTTTACTTCACAGAATTACAAATAATAGGGAATTTACTCTTTCAAGAGAAATTAAAAGGCCCCTATTCTTGGGATATTCTGAACAATTTAAGTACCACCCTTCAATATATTATGTCAGACAATGAGTTGAGAATATAGATCTCTGTTCACCAAATTAAGGCCACAATACCTATGTTACTGGTTTGCAAACCTGGTTGATCATTAGCATCATCTGGCAAGCTTTTTAAAAAACACAGCTTTAGCCCTGGCTGGGGTGGCTCAGTGGATTGACTGCCAGACTGCAACAAACCAAAGGGTCACTGGTTCTATTCCCAGTCAGGGCACATGCCTGGGTTGTGGGCCAGGTCCCCAGTAAGGGGCACCCTAGAGGCAACCACACAGTGATGTTTTTCTTCTCTTTCTCCCTCTCTCTAAAAATAAATAAATAATCTTGAAAAACACCACCACTTTGTATAGTTCACTCAAGACTTAAGGTAGGACCCAGTACTTTGATTTTTGCTGTATTTTAAGTTCTGCAGCTGATTGTGTTCATCAGCCAGGTTATGAACCACCCAGACTAGGAGAGAGGTTTGCAAATACTCTGTTCAAATTGTATGATTTAATATGGCAACAGTTAACTATTTTCTAAAGTTTTCCTGGTAAAAATATTTTGATACCTACTTCATGCTTGTTATGAGCTGAATGCTTGTGTCCTCCCAAAATTCATAATTTGAAGCTCTAACCCCTAATGTAATGGTATTTGAAAATGAGACCTTCAGAAGATAGTGGTTTAGATGAGCACCTGAGGGCAGGGCCCATGTGACGGGATTAGTGCCCTTGTGAAAAGGGGCAGATTTCTCAGTGCCCACGCCCAGAGGAAAGGCCTGAGAGCACAGTGAGGGGGCAGCTGTCCACAAGGCAGACAGAGGGCCTCTACCAAGAACCAAATCTACTGGCGCCTTGATCCCGCACATCCCAGCCTCCACAACTGTGAGCAGTAAATGTCTGTTGTTTAAGTCGTTTGATCTATGGCATTTGTTACAGCAGCCAGAGCTGGATAGCACACAAGGCTCTGACAGAACACTCAGGGGAACCTACAGATTACTCACCTTTAACCAAAATACTGCATAAAACACATCAATCTCAAGAACTAAAAGTCAAGAAAATTTACTCTGCTGATTTCGTGCATGCTGCATTAGTATATATATAGTAAGTCTAGTCCACATAAATTCTTAAAATCTTACTTAGAGAATGAAATTCTTTTAATATATAAAATTTACATAAAATAATAAGGCACAGACTTGGAAAAACAAATATTTTACTGCCCCATAATAGCACCTAAACTAAGGAAATTGAATGCTCACAAGACTACTTTTTGTTCTAGTGCTGAATCTGATATTAACTTATAATTACCTAGTTCTTTAAATAACTATTTTCCCAGTCATAAGGGATGTAGCTAAATCCTTTTTTTTAATCCTCACCAGAGACATTTTTTTTTCCATTGCTTTCAGAAACAGAAACAGTGTGAAGGAGAAATATCATTTGGTTGCCTTCCTGTACACTCCCCAGCTGGGGATTGAACCTGCAACCTGGGTATGTGCCCTGACTGGGAGAATTGAACCCGCAAACCTTCATTGTACAGGGATGATGCTCCAACCAAGTGAGCCATGCCGGCCAGGGCAAGACTACGTTTTTTTAAAGCCACTAAAAAGATGGACGGACCACCATCCAGGTCCCATTTTATCAATGAGGAGGCGGGCCCAGAGAAAAGTATATGATAATGCACAGGTCAAAAGGTAAAGCCAGGAATCAAACCCAATTCTTCAAGTTCCATGTTCTGTTACAATTAATAATTGTTTAAACAAGGAGCTATTTATCTTAGCCTTCTTTTCTGAAAAACGAGGTCTAGCTACATTATTTGGAGTCATCATAGTTTACAAGGTATGGCTTTATTATAAGGCATGGATTTGTTTTAGCTCTTCCACTATTGTGCCAAAGTTATCTTTTTACGAAATGTTTTTTTGTATCCTAAGTTGAACAGTTTCGTATTCTGGATCTGTGACTTGCTGGCATCATGGTATGTTTCAGCTATAAAATACTAATACTTTAATCTGTCCAAACATTAACTCCCCTGTGTACATCTGAAGCAAGTAGTTGATGACACAGAAAATATCACAAATATGAAAGTGTTGAAATTCTTAATAGTGTTTACAAACTGGTATAGCTAAACCCAATTTAAAAAGGGACAAATGTCAAAAAATTCACATATCATCCAATATGAATTGGTATAATCATACTGGAAGACAATTTGGCAATATGTATCACGCACTTGAATTTCTAAAATGTAACCCAGTATAATGAGAAAACTGAAATAGACTTAATATACAGTATTGTTCATCACTGTTTTATCTATAGCATTGAAAAGTTCAAAATAACCTAAATGTGTAATGACAAAGAATGATAGAAATACACCATTATCTAGTCTTAATGCAAAATATACAGCCATTAAGTTTGGTGTTTTTGAATAACAGAATTGTTTCAATAAAAAGTTAGTGTGTGTATATATGTGGATGTGTCGATACAGCCATGTATATACAGTGATCCAAGCTGCTTTTCAGCTTGTATACAAGTGTATAGTCATATAATTGTTAGATTACTTACATACTGCCACACTATTTAGTAAGCAGGCCTTTCCTTAATCCCCGTGTCCTTCCTGTGCCCATCGCTGCACAATCCAACAGCTGGAGCACTTTAGGACACTGCTCTTGCACCACAGTTAATATTGCTCTCGTTGGTGCCTACCCAATGCTGCTTTTTAAACATTGTCAGTCTACCCCTTTGAGTTCAGTGGATATTTATATAAATGATAGGAAAAAAATAAAAGATACTAAAATGCTAATTTAGAGTTCTATAGAGAGTTCTATATAACTATTTTCTAAATTATCTACTGTGAGTATATGCTTTTATAAGAACAGTTTTTTTAAATTGGTCTATGGGGATAATTAAAATAATGGTTAACTTCTAGATTATATAGGGATAATTAAAATAATGGTTAACTATTAAATTATATAAAGATAAAGCAGAGTACAAAGAGCTCCACTAAAATGTTTTTTAAAGAGGCTAAGAGAAGAATGACTTCTGAACTTGCACTTCAGATTCTGAAACAGGAATACTAAATCTTAAAACAACTGATAATGCCACGTGTATTAACAATGACTTGCATCAAGAAGAGAACCTGACAGACTGGTAACCCCACCCCCACCCCAGTTGGAGATTGGAGATCGCCACAGCAACCTTAAAGCGCAGGACAGAATAGGAATGGTAGTCAGTGGTGTATGAACATGATGATACCTGTAGCTTACAAAATCCATCTGAAAACATCTACTACAAACTGACACAAAGGATTGTGGAAAGAACTAGACCTGTTTAAATAATTTTAAAGCTATAAAAGTTGCTATTTCATAAGGAATCTAGAAGGGACAAAATGGAAAAAGCAAGAATAAAACAGAAGTGAAAAAAGAACTTTACACTAGTGACCCAATTCAAAAAGCATTGTCAAAAAAAATTAAAAATCAAGCATCATTTGGTAGGTACAAAAGAGGTACAAACTCTTCAATTCACTAAAAATTTTAATGATTTCTACTTCCAGCCAAGAAAGTAGCTGGGGTTAGATTGAACCTCTCACCTGAACCAACTAAAAGCAAGACAAAATGTAAGAAACAAAGGCTTGAAAGAAATTGGACATTAGTCAATAAAGGACAGTGACACCTGAGAAATGACCCAGAGATTACCCCAGTTTACTGGTTTCCAGGCAAAAGGGGACACTGAAGTAGAGCTCATTGGCACTCCCAAGTCGAGGTATAACTGGAAATCTGAGGAAGCCAAGGTGACTGGAGTTCCCAGAGGAGAAGGCGGTCAGAATTGCTCCCAGGAGCTGCAGCGGGGCCCCCTGGGTATCCAGCATACTGACCACAGTGCATGCTTGGGATGCAGCACATCCCTCACAGCTGCAGGAAGGGTCACTCAACCATGAAAGGAGAGAATGCCCAGAACACACACAGTGCTGGGAATTGTGCCTGTTCTCAATAGCCAGAGTGGAACAACTAATTTAATGAGATATTTTACTGTAAGAATAACCAAGGGCCTCACCTCAGTGGTGGGAAAAGTTAATTCTTTAGAAATTCAGAATTACACAGAACTTAGTATAAGTTCAAGATGTATGGAATAAAAAAAAAAATTACCTGACATGCAGAAAGATGGGAAAATAAAGTCAAAACTGACCCAAAAAATGATAAAACATGGGGATAAAGTTTCATGATCTTGGATTAAGCAATAGTTTCTTAGATATCACACCAAAAGCACATGCAATGAAAAACTAGATAAACTGGGCTTAAATTGACATTTTTGCACTTGAAGAGACATCAAGAAAGTAAAAAGACAAGCTGTAAACTAGGAGAAAATATTTGCAAAATATCTGATAAAGGACTTATATGCAGACTACATAAATTTACACTCAAGATTGTTAATCCAATTTAAAAACAGGCAAAAGTTAAATAGACATTTCACCAAAGATCAATAAATGGCCCATAAACATAGGAGAAACAGCTCAACATTAAAAGAGATGCAGATTGAAACTATAATGAGATGCCACGTTACACCCACTAGACTGACTACAATTAAAAAAATAATATCTGAGCTAGGATGTGAAACAATTGTAATCCTGTATTGCTGGTGAGAATGGAAATGATGTATTGAATTTGGAAAATTCAGTTTCTTAAAATGTTAAGACAGATTTACTACATGTTAGGGCTAAATGTATCCTCCTGTCCCCCCTGCAAAAAAAAAAAAATCATGTTGAAGCCCTAAATTTGGAAATGAGGCCTCTAAGGAAGGAAAGTTAAGGGTGGGCCCTGATCTGACAGATTTACTGTCTTTATAAGGAGACGTCATCTCCTTTATAAGGACACGCCCTCTATCCCCTACCCTCAGTCGAGACCATGTGTGCACACAGCAACATGGCAGCCACCAACAAACCAAGACAAGAGGCCTCAGAATGAAACCTTTGCCAGCCCCTTATTCTTGGAATTCCCAGCCTCCAGAACAATGAGAAAGAAGTTTGTTTAAGCTACCCAGTCTGTGGTATTTTGCTATGGCAGCTCAGATACCATATAACCCAGAAATTCTATGTTACACCTAAAATAAAGTATGTGTCCAAATAAAAACTTTTTGTGTATACAGATATTCATGGCATTACTTGTAACTAGAAAGTACCAAAAACCCAAATGCCCATCAACTGGTGCATGGTTAACTGTGGTATACTCATACAAAGAAATATTATTTGGCAATAAAAAGAAATGAAATACTGATACATACTACAGGATGGATGAACTTTGAAAATATTGTCTAAGTGAAAGAATCCAGGCACAGGAGACCAAATATATGGTTCCATTGATGTGAAATGTCCAGAAGAGGTAGATCTATAGAGACAGACCATAGAGTAACTGGTTGCTTAAGGCTGGAGGTGGTTAAGGGGAGTGACTTGAAATGGCACAATTTCTTTTGAGAGTAATGGAAATACCTCAAATTACCATATTTTGCCATGTATAATGCACACATTTTTTTGCCCCAATTTTTGAGGGAAAAATAAGGGTGCACATTATACATGGGTATAATGATTGCATGCCGTGGGTATAATAAATCTGTACAATGCACACAAAAACGTAGGTATGCATCATACACGGCAAAAAAAAATATTGGTATATACCGGTGATGGCTGCACAACTCTGTTAAAGTAACAATAATGGAATTGTTCACCTAAAAGGGTGAAATTTTGGTATATAAATTATATTTCAACAAAGCTTTTAAAAATGCACAGTTTAAAGCAAAAAAAAATAGTAATGTATTTGTGGAGCTTATAACAAGTAAAATGTATGATGGTAATAGTACATGCTGAGGGGGAAGGAATGGAACTAGACTGTTGGAAGCTTCTTATAACATACTTGAAGTAGAATAATATTTTACTTTTCACTCTCATAGGTCAAAAATGTATACCATTGGGTTGGCGAAAAAGTCTATTACATTTTTCCTGTAAGGTGGCTCCAATAGTGCTTAGTTGTCTTTAACTTCATTCAAAACAATTTTGTTAGATTGTATTGTGACAGCCGTTATTTCAGTGTGCATTTCTTAAAAATTTATCAAAATTGGTAAATTTTTATGCAGCCATTTTAATATTGAAGATGGAAGCAGGTATGCAGCATATGGAAAAGGTTCTGACGGATCGAGTGTGTCAAAGTAGTTTGTGAAGTTTCTTGGTAATACTGACATTTCGGAACAATAATTCTTTGCTGTGGGGCTGACTTATGCATCGGAAGATATTGAGCAGCACCCCTGGCCTCTACCCACTAGCAACCAGTAGTGGGAGATAGCTGACATACTCAAGATATCCAGATCAATAAAGTTATTGGTGAATATGAAAAATGTGTCTTTTATTTTATGGAAAAAACTAAACAGACTTTTTGGCCAACCCAGTATAAATCACTAAAATAAAACAAAGAATTACAGCTAATAAACCAATAAGAGATTATTAAAAGGAATGTATTGGTATTCAATCTAAAAGAAGGCAGAAGAGAAAGAAGGAACAAAGAACAGATGTAACAAATTAGCAAGGTAATAAATGTGAACCTAACCATGTCAATCACATCAAACCTAAAATGGCCTAAATACTCCAATTAAAAGGCAGAAATTGTCAGATTGGCTATAAAAAGCAAGACCCAAAAATACACTGCGAACAATAAACCCACCCTGTATGTTAAAAATACAGGGACACAAAAAGATACTTTGCTAACCTTAGAAGGAAGTGAAGTGGCATGGCTGTGTTAATATCTATTAAAGACCTCAAAGCTAAGACTATTACCAGTAATACATATATTTCCTGAAATTAAAGGAGTCAGTTCCTCAAGAGGACATAACAGTCTTAAACATGAGTAAGACTGTTAGTAACAGTGCTTCAGATAGATGAAGCAAAAAGTGATAGAACGGTAAGCAGAAGTACATGTTCACAATGATAAACAGAGATTTCAACAACTTTGAATAACTGATAGAAGTACAAGTAGAGCAGTGACGATACAAAAGACAAATATCATCAACTAACCTGATATACAAAACACCCAACAGCTCTGGTTTCCTCATTGGTAAAATTGGATGAGACCCCTTACAGGTCTGTTTTGAGGTTTAGCTATAATATATGGAAAGGACCTAACATAGTACCTGCCATGCAGTTAGGTGTTCAATAAATGGTATCATTTTTATCTGCCATATTTTTGTCGTGCATTAGCCAGTATTACAGTTGACTGGCTCTCCACCAGAGCAGTGAAAACTCAGAATCCTAACCACGAAATCATGTGAAGCAGCAGTTTTGCTGAGAATCGGAAGCTCTGATTTCCACCTCAGAGCTTTCCCCTAATTTTTAATGAGAAATGAAAGTAGCGATGAAAGAAAGTATAGAGAAAGTCCATTTGTATAAGTACAGTTGATCAATCTGATCAGAAATGATGGCAAGAAAAGTTCCCATATCAGCATGTTCTATATCTTGAAGTATTTAAGGGAAACAACAGTCTCTCCTATGGCCTAACCAACCATGGGGCATATTTCCAGAAAGCTGGGAACATTCAATATAGGCAAAGTTCTCTTTTTCACTTGTTCTAAACCTGGGAAGGAGATGGAACTCATGGCTTTATAAGCTGAAGACAGGAAGGCTGTGCACTTCCTGAGACCCCATGACAAGTCTGAGTGGTAGCTAGTCCCTGGTCCACCTCTGCCCAATGCACCTTTCACCAGACCAGAGCATCCTGAAAGGCAGTTCTGCAGGAAAACCCACACCTGTGGCCTAGGGTCATTCTTACCAGAGTCTAGCTGAGTTGTTCTAGCTCTCTTCAGTTTTCCAAGTGGTTTATACTTTGGCTCAGTGCTTTGCGAAGAACGGCATAAAGGCTTTAAGCTGAAATGAATACAAATATTTTATTGTTCTTGCTAGGAAAGCTGCTGGAATGTAAGCATCATTTATAGATTATAAAAACATTGCCATAGGGGAAATCATAACTGCTTTTAAGAGCTGAAAAGTAATGTTCAATGATTTAAAATCACTTCAGTATAATAAAATGCTAATACAACCTGGTGGTGTCTAACTGTAGGATTGAGGGAAAGCAAAACTCGTATCTGCTCTCGAACTGTAAAAAAGCTAGTCCCTATTCTTAAAAACTTAATACAGTGACACTTGGCCTACAGGGAATACAATACAGCTAGTTGTTTTCCCTTCCCTGTTTAATGATGTTTACTAATCTCTTGCAAGAATCTCACAAATTCGATCACTTTATTCTAGTGGCTGGAAACTAAGACCCAGTAAGATAAAATATAAAAGGGCGCAGAAATAAGATTTGAGGGTGCCCTGCCCTTTTTCGAAGCCCTTATTGCCAACTGCTCCTTTATGCCAGATTCCCAGAAGCCGTTAGGACTACATATAACACCTACGTGAAGAAAAGCCATTACGCTCGAAACCTGACACAGTCACAGCCTCATCCACTATAAGTCCTTGCCGCTGTTCTCAGGCCCAGTACTGTTCTCTGGATCCATCCCGTTCGATAACACAAGTTACAAGTACCAACAACTTACATTTCTATAACTTTATCCATAGTGGTGCCCAATGGAATGACATTTGGATATGCATTCACAGGACAGATGTAGCTCAAGAAATCTTTAATCTAGAAGAAGGGAAATAAAAAGGATCACTCATCTCAACAGTGAAAAATCTGGGTACGAGAGGCAAGTAATGGAGGCCAGGGGGAAGCAGCAAGAAAATCATGGCTGTGTTCTCAATGCTTGCTGCATGTGGGGTTCACCTGGGGACCTCTCAAGAAAAAGAAATACCCAACACTCAGCCTCACCCCAGAGATCCTTTTAATACTAAGCTCCGGTGGGGCCTGGGACTCTATTCTCCAGGTGGTTCTGTTCCACAATAAGGACTGAGAGTCACTGGTTAATGGGATTCAGAGATTCTGTATTTCTTCATAAGACCTTAGTGTCCTCATCTAAAAAGGGCAGTCATATTTAACATCCCCTCATGTTAGATTTAGCTGAGTGCTTAATACACAAGAAAACGGTCTTAGAAGTACACTTCTTTCCGCCTACATCATTGTTGGCAACGCCAAGGGAACTGCACCTTTGGGGTTGCTTGATTTTTTTGTAATAGTTTATTCCAACCCCATCGAGGACAGTTGCCTGCAAAACTTCATGAATACCTTGATTTTTCTGCAAAGCTCAGGATGCTAAACAGAGGAACTCTGTCACTAGTCCGCAAAACACCTCTACAGACCAGACAGTCTTCAACTTACTCGTCTTGGTGAGCTCGTGCTCTCAGGCAAGTTACCTAGAGTCTTGTACATCTCTGACTCTTCATCGAGAAGTATAAATGAACGAATGCATGTAAACTGCTAAGCCCAGTACTGGGTCTGGTTAACTATTTGGTAACATCCATTGCGAAGCTGATGACGACAGCACAAAGATTTTTATTCCTTTCTTCAAATGGGGATATTGAAGCATAAAGTAATTATTAGTACCTGACTTTCTCAAATAAAGTACCATATCCAAGGAGGTATTGACCCAGGAATTATCGATAACTTCACTTAGACAGGAAGATCCATTCTTCAGATGTTTTTCATAAATAATTTCCTTTCTACTTGCAGAGCAGACATGCAAATAGAAACCATTATTTACCTGCCTACAACCTGTATGATTTTGCAATAATCAATCCAAAGTTGAGGCTGGTAGAAATCAGAGGCTTTTTGAAGGGAACAAGGATTTAAAAAGTAAGGCCAAGTCTGTACCATAACTGATTCACCTATTGTACTCCAATGAAGTGACCACAGGAGACGAGAAACACCCAGTAGGAGGGCGCCCTCTCTCTCACTTGCACAGCTTCGTGACCTTTCGCCAGGTGCCTGCCTTACCACAGTTCATTAACAGAGTCAGTTCTCGCTACTCACAGCAGTCACGTTCTGTGTAAAGTCACCAAGAACACTGAACCAGCACACTCTGAACTACTTCTGGGGGAAATGGAGGGGTAGGTTCCTGGAAACCTCTGCTCAGTGTTTTTGTTAACTGATCAATAGCATCACCTTGTTTCAGTGTGATTTTGCTTTAAAAATACCTTATTTCATGTATATATTGTTGGCTCACTAACATTGAACTAATGGCCAACAGCAGCACTATAACTCATGCCGGCAAGAAGCTACCAAACACTTTCTCCGTGAGGCGCACGCCTGCATTAGGAACAGCAGACGGCACTGCAGCACTGTGCTCAGGGGCTGCTTCAAACAGCGAAAGCTCCAAATGAGACCGACTAAATAGACTGCAGACAGGACAGCTGCCCACAGGCTTGAGAGCGGAAGCAAGAAGACACAATGCCAGCTGGTCCACCTGAGTTGGGAACACGCACATTGGGCGACCCACGTTCCCCCACTCTGCTGTGCGGGTCTGCAGTGACCACAAAGCACTGCTTGTATCAATTTTCAACTTACAAAGAAATTTTCCTGAGGGGGCAATTTGCAGGTAAGGAATCCATAAATGCAGAAGATCAACTGTATTTAGAAAAAACTGAAAGGAAATATTTATATCTATTTACATTTTTAAATACAGTTCATGTTCTACATATAGGATATAGGCAAATTAATTAAACCAATGTTCAGGAAAGCCTGCCTCTCACCAGAACTGTGAAGGAAGGTGACTAAGCAGAGCTCAGAGTGACCCTCCCCGGTGTGTGCTGACTGGCCCTGACCTGAGGACAGGAAGAGAAGCAGGTCTGCTTCGCTCGCTACTCCAGGCACAGGGACACATATCCTTAACAGGTGGCAATTTTACAAAGTCCCATGAAGGCTCACGCTTGCCAGCTTGGCCACTAACTATACTGAAGAAGAGAAATCGGACAGGAGTAGATTGGATTAAAAAAGGAAGGCCTGCCCTTTCCCGGGTGCCCTCCCTGTGGCTGAGACAGAAGGATATTCTGTCAGTAAGAGGAGGGGCCCCTGATGCTGAGCGAGGTGCCACACCAAAGACAAATCACCAGGAAGGGGGTTTGACACCAACCTAAGATTCAGGAGGAACTGGTGAAGAACACAAGTAAATTACAGCACCAAAATGAATTATTTCCAAGCTACTCTCATAACCTGTTTGTACATGAAGGTTAAGGTCAGCTATTTAATAGAGATGTCATGGTGATACTTAGAGAATATGACGAAGAATTGTTTACGTTATTATGGCTGACTTGATAAGGATGCCACTACTTGGAGTTCTGGAAGAATCTACCTGTTCAAATAATTAACACATCTGCAGCTCACTGCTACAGGGTTGTAGTTATAGCCCAAATACAAAAATAATAGTTGTCAGAGAAATGGGGTTTTAAGTGCAGAAATGGCAAAACTAAAATTATGTATGTCTTAAAGTGTCATCAAAAGCCTGCTTTTATATTGTTTTTTCTCCATTATGAGAAATTACTGAATCTCTGGACTTCTTAGTTGCTGGCATTTACTTTGGAAATGTAGGAGGATTTTGCAAATAAATTATATATATATCAAGTTCCCATTTTGGCAGGTCAGTTTCCTACATAAAAAGTACCATAACTGAACCATTTTAACTCCTCTTAAAACTGGATAATTCTAGTATACTACAACCTTAAGGACAAGTGCAGTCATTTTTGTTCTTCCCCAATGCTGAATATTCAGGACTATTTTTTAAGTAGCTTAAATACAATCAAATTTTGAAGGAGGCCAAGAATCTGTACATTAAAGGTTATTTTACCAGTAGTACTCCTTCAAATAATATTTATGATTCTTTTATGATAAGTGGTAAGATTCTTTTATGATATGATTCTTCGATATGACAATCAAAGTGAGGAAGTTAATTCAGGAAGCAAGATGGGAAGATAACCTTAATCATAAATATACCCTTCAATATTTGGGCTGAAAACAGGTAATAATTGCAGTTTCCTTGGTACTTAGTAACATAGCTCATCCACTGAGATGTTTTCCCTGCAGTTTCTTTAGGAAACACCACAGCCGCTCTTCAGCAGTAGAAAAAGAGATGCTGCCGGAAGTCAAGGGGACTTGCACTCAGCCGTGAAGGCAGCTGAGCCGTCAGCAGCAGGGTGCTGGGTATATGGGGTCCTCTTACCTCACTGTAGGAGGAATGGAAAGAAAAACAAGCTCTGTATGAACTCTCTCCAGTCCTAAAGGGAAATGAAAACACAAAATTAAAAGGTCACCTATCAAAACTACACTGAGTTCTAAATTTGAGGCTTTCCATTTAGGCTATTCCAGTAAAAATTCCCTACAGTTAAGAATTTCTTCCTGGAACATGAGAGAACTCTTTCCATATATATAAATATTTGTAGACATTCCAAAGAGCCAACATTAAGGAACTGTTCCCCCAAGATGATGATCATTATGGTACACCTCTACTTCAGTAAGGGCTCTGTGCCCTCCGACAGCAATCCGCGAGCCCCTGCCCGGCAAGATTCAACCTCCAGCCATCTTGTCTACCCAACGAGATAGGCCTCAGGAAGGACTGGCTGATGCAACTAGCCATGAGGTAGGTTTGGAAGCAGCTTGTCTTCACTTTAAGTGTCAAAAGTTATTTTCCACAATTATAATATATCCTCTTCTTGGGCTTAGACTAGATTGCATTTAAACTAACTGAAAGATCACTGATTCGATTCCCAGTCAGGGCACATGCCTGGGCTGCAGGCCAGTTCCCAGTAAGGGGCGTGTGAGAGGCAAAGGATTGATATTTCTCACACATTGATGTTTCTCTCCCTCTCTCTCCCTCCCTTATCCTCTCTCTAAAAATAAATAAAATAAAGTAAAGTAAAATAAATCAGATCACCTACCTCAAAGCAGGGTTTGCCTGAGAAAACCTGTGACATTGCTTTCTTACCTCACAATTACATTCGTTTTTCTGGTTCTTTCTCCAAACCACATTGTGGATGGCTTAATGCTGATTGTGTGGAGTGGAATTCTATTTCTGGAAGTAATTCCACAGGGTAACCTATTCCACTGAAAATATTCCTCTGCCTAAAAAAAAAAAAAATTTAAACATATAGTGAAGCAGTTTAACATTTTCAACAAATATATGTGTAGGCAGGATCTCAGTAACAAAAGAAGTAAATAAATTTTTAGACATAAAAAATTGGAGACATGAGGAAACAATCAGATAATTTCAAAGTGAGAAACTAACTACAGAACAACTGGCCTGGACTCCAAAAATATCAGCGTGATGGAAGGAGAATAAAAACTGGAGATGTGATGTACATCAAAAGGGACTAGAGAGGACTGGGCGAATGCAACACGTGGTTCTTCATTAAATCCCCTCTGTAGGCTATAAAGGACACTAATGGGACAACTGAGGAAAACTGAACCCAGACTGTATTACACCCGACAGTATCATATCCGTGTTAAATTTCCTGAGTGTGGGAATCGCACTGTAGTGATACAGGAGAATGTCCCTTCCGCAGTGATACAAGCGAAGGATTAGGGTGAAGTGCCACGAAGTCTGTGACTGAGTCTCGAATGGGTTAGAGGTGGAGTTGGGGGGGCTGTTCACACAGAGGCAGAGGGGCAAGAGCACAGATGTGGCAAAGCATTAACTGGGGGATCCAATCTCATAATTTTACTGTTTTTAAATTCTTCAAAATAAAGTTGGAGAAAAATGTTTCTAAAAGGTTGAAAAACAATGGGACTATTTTCCCAAAAACATGTTTAGATCAGGACCCTTCAAAAGCACACGCCCTCCACTAAGACCACACGTCACCCAGGGCCTTTACTGCTGTCTCCTCCACTCCGTGTTGTCAGGGCGACATGACTTAAGAAATCTCTTAAGCCACTGGAAGTAGTGGCTCAAGGCAAGTAGCTACGAGGGAAATGACAGGAGTAGCAGTTACAAATTACACTACTTTGTGGGATGTGAGAAAACTCAGAGCAAAAAAAATTGGCCAGTTGTGAGATTTATGGGCTGTAGGGGAAACCAAAGACTACAAGTCCAGCAAAAAAAGGACAGTTTCATTCTGTATCTACATCGCTTCTGTCCATCCATGAACTCACCGGCTGTGTGTGCGTATGTGTATATACACAAACGAAATGATGAAATAGACTAATGAATGGGAATTACAATATGCAGCCTGCTGATCATCAAAGTAACTTCCTCCCTGGTAGCTCCCCTGCAGTGGTACTCCATGCTGTGGATAAGAATTCTTTTTTTTTTTTTTAAATTATGCTTTATTTTAGGGTTGAGCAACTTTACATTAGGTTTTTATCCAATGAAGCCAATATTACTACCACAATAATTATCTAAATGTGTACAGGCAGTGTTTACTAAAATAAAAAGTACTTAGCACTTGAATACTAAGAAACTTTATATCTAGAGGAAAATTACGATCATGCATACTAGTACATTTGAAGATCACTACTTAGTATTGGTGATTTAAAAATTTAAAAATTTTTAAATGTGAAAGGCAAATTCAAAACTTAATACCCGGGATTTAATAACAGAAGGCCATTTAATAAGAGGGAGTTCTACGGTGGCATTAAAAAACTATCACAGCCCTGGCTGGTGTGGCTCAGTGGATTGAGTGCTGGCCTGCGAACCTAAGGGTCACTGGTTCGATTCTCAGTCAGGGCACATGCCTGGGTTGTGGGGCTGGGTTCCCAGTGATGGGTGTGTGAGAGGCAACCACACATTGATGTTTCTCTCTTTCTCCTTCCCTTCCCCTCTCTCTAAAAATAAATAAATAAAATCTTAAAAAAAAAGATCATGAGTTGCAAAGATATGAGAAACATTCACTTGAAATCAGACCAGCAAAACATGTAACTATTTCAAAATTCCAAGCAATATTATATCTAGATATTTACCCCAAATGAGAATAAAAATACAGTTTATAAATGCATACGTATCGTGAGTCTAAAAAATAGCAATGGGTTGTTAATGTTTTCTTAAATTATGAGTTCTAATATTTTACTAATTTCATTATAAATGAATTATTTATTACATAAAGCATTACAGATAAACATGTATCAAATGGGTATGAATACATAGCGTTAAAAATCACAAGTATATGTATCTGTTTACTACGTATGAAGTTTATGGTCATGGAATCAACAATGTACAGTTGCATGACCTTGGGCTAATAACATAAGATCTCAGCCTCAGTTTTTAACTGTAAATTGAAGAAGCGCCTAGAAAATCAAATTCCTGAGGTTCCTTATGGACCTGAAATTCTGTTTCTCACGGATCCCACACACAATGTAGAGAGCAAGTGACTCGGCACCTTTGGGTGGCGACACGCGTGGATCTGAGTGCTGCGGTCCGTGGTGAGGTGATGAAGGATGTCAGGCATGTTTCGAAACATGTCTAGCTTATCCACATGAACCTGAGGAAAATTACAGAGAAAATTATTTTAATGGTACTTCTGTAAATAAATTACTCAAGAGTCATTATACAGGGGTCAGTCATCCAGTTAGGGAGCTAACTCTTTCTTGAAACCTGGTTTTTGGCATTTCAGTGCACATTAGTATTGTCAGGATGTCAATAGGCAGAGGGCAAAGATCACATTCCCACCAGCCATGTTACCGCCTACAGTTGGTGGTAAAAAAGAAATCTAGAGACTTGGTGGATTTCACTGGATCACGCTAACACTGCCCTTCGGTCCATTAAGTCATTCAGTTAGCCCTGGCTGGTGTGGCTCAGTGGACTGTGCGCCAGCCTGCAAACCAAAGTGTCGCTGGTGTGATTCCTACTCAGGGCACAGGCCTGGGTTGTGGGCCAGGTCCCCAGTAGGGGGCGTGTGAGAGGCAGCCACACATTGATGTTTCTTTCCCTCTCTCCCTCCCTTCCCCTCTCTAAAAATAAATAAATGAAATCTTTTAAAAATGTGTTAAGAAAGTTAGTCAATTAATAGCTACTGTACACCTACTATATATGTTCTAAATACTGGGAATGCAGCAGTGAATGCAAGCAGACGAGCGATCAAGAGTCACTCACGAACACATACACACAACATGCCGGTGAAGGGCAGATGGCGTGGGACGGGAGCCGGACTGGGAAGCAGAGGCCCAGTCTCCCTGACCGCGCTCCTCTTTACCAGGTGAAAAGGGGGAGTGCAGATGCAGGTAAATAAATAAACAAGTAAAAAATAAAACCTTGGCCACCTTTAGAATTTTAAGGCTAATACAGTTTGAAGAATAAAACTAATGTGTCAGTTTTACCTAAAGTTTCTCTTCTAGTTACTTCAAACTAAATAACATGTACATACAGTAAGTCCTTACTTAATGTCATCGGCAGGTTCTTGGAACTGCTCAGAATGATGTATAGCAAAGCCAGTTTTATCGTAGACTACTTGATATAAGCAAGAGTTAAGTTCCTAGTCCTGGACAGGTAGCTCAGTTGATTAGAGCCTGGCCACACTACTCCAAGGTTGCAGGTTCAGTCCCTAGCCAGGGCACATACAAGAATCAACCAATGAATGCATAAATAAGTGAAACCACAAATTGATGTCTCTCTCTGTCTCTTTCTTCCTGCCCCTCCCCATCCCCCAAATCAATGAATAAAAAAATAAAAACGTTAAGTTCCACCCTGGCTGGTGTAGGTCAGTGGATTGAGCACTAGCCTACGAACCAAAGGATCGAAGTTCAATTCCCAGTCAGGGCACATGCCTGGGTTGCAGGCCAGTTCCCAGCAGGGGACGCACAAGAGGCAACTGCACATTGATGTTTCCCTCTCACTCTTTCTCCTTCCCTTCCCCTCTACAGATAAATAAATAAAATCTTTTTTAAAAGAAAGTTAAGTTCCTATGGCAGGGTGTCAGACTCATTTTCATCAGCCTCCCAGTTGCCTTCGATGGGATGAATGTAATTTCAACTCGGTAACAGTTAAGGAGTAGCTACATTTATACAGTCCTACAATTATTTCAACCCTTTGAAGGCAACCTCGAGGCCTATGTGGCCTCCAGTGGAAATGAGTTTGACACCCCTGTCCTAGGGCATCTCACCGATACAATGAAATGATGTTCAATGAAATGTTATTCAAAAACCTGCGGTACCTAAGTTGAAGTGAGAATTATGAAATGGCACTAAAAAAAGTATTGTCACTTTGAAGCAGAGATATTAGAATAATGTCAAATTGCTGTGGCAGTTAATACTGAGACAAGTATAAAAAGAATCCTAGCATAATCACTTACTTAACCTGTGGCCTGTTCCACTCACTATCTGTTTATTAAGGACTAAGAAGTAACAATGAATTTGCTTTTCTGGCCTCTTTAACAAGGAAATATTTAAAGAGGTATATTCTGAGATATACAGAGAGCAATAAGGAAACTCATCCTTGTGAAAATAAGAAGCCTGAAAAAAGTGGCCATAGGTCCCTTAACCAAAAACCTGTCTCCCTTTTTAAATTCCTGATCTGAGATTGCATCTGTCCCAGAAACAAGCTAAGAGAGGGCTCCCTGCGGGGTGACTGGGGCACCACCCGAGACCTGCTCGCCAGCCCCTCCTCAGCAGCGTCGCTCCTGGCCAGGCCTGCGGGGCAGGAGCGTCCAGTCGGCTCAGTTTCACACACCAGTAAAACTTACAAAACAAATTTGGGACTGGGAAGTAGTTACTACCTTTATCTTCTGCCAAGACAGGACAGGAAGGAAAAAATGGTGGAGGGTGCTGTAGATAATTCTGTGTATGTGTGTACACACAACCTATTATCATTGTGATTTTAATTTAAAAGGCCATTTAACACCAAAATCTCAGAATGAAAGCAAATCCTTCCTAAAATGGAGAACTGGCAACTTCATGCCAGTATATTTGGACAGAAGGATTTCAGGAAGAAAGGAATTAAAGAAGGACCTAGGAAGTAACGATTTATAGGCAGGGAGGGAGGAAAGAATTTTTCAATTTCAAATGCAAAAAAAACCCCACTACATCATTTTATTGTACTAAATTATATTGCACATAATCCTTAAGTTCTTTGTACAAGTTTGTTAGCTAGGGGAGCTACATTAAAAGATAGAAAGTGAGGTAGGACTCCAATGTCCAGCTAGCCCCAGTGCTTTGTTTTGTTCAACATGGTCCATCCTGTCTTCCCGGACTAGAGCAGAAGCCCCGGGCTCCCCAGGGCGCTGCAGGCACCGGCTCCCTGCTCGGCAGACGGGCTCACACACACTGGGCTCTGCTGCTCCGCGTCCCGAGAGCCCAGCACTGAGCCACTCGCAAGGGACAGGACAGCTCCGTCCCAGCCGGGTCAGGTACGGATCCGTAAAGGCTCAGTGCTCCAAGACAAGGTTATTGAGACATTTTGACCATGACCCACAGTAGGAAATATGTTTTCCCTGGCTACCCAGTACATACACATATACATGTCTGATTCTACCATAAATTTTCACAAAACAATAATTACTCTCACTGCCCATAAGCAATACACTTGAGTATTTTCTAGTTTAAACTTAACTTTCAGTGCTGATCACAATCACTAAATTTATTTCATGACCCACAGGTTTTGAAAACACTTCCTCTATGGGACGTTTCACCAAAGGGCCACCGTCAAGTCCCCCCACGAGGACACCAATGAACAAAGCGGACGCGCTCCTTCACAGGGGCTGCCGAGTGTGGCAGCCCTACTCACGCTGCGGAGGTTGTTTGCATCTTTACTGCTTGCAGGTTTGGGGGGAAGGGGAGGAAAGGTGAAGGGAGGATGGAAGAGGGCAGCAGAAAAGAAAGAGCCGCCACCATACCTGGAGTCCAAATTCTTCACTAAGGTTGGTGAACAGATACTCATACCCGTAAGCTGCTTTGCAGTTCAGCCACACCACGTGGTACGGGCTCCGCGTGATCCAGCTCCGAACCAGCTCCACCATCCCACTCAGACACTCTCCCTGGCGGGGTGGTAAAGGCATTTAACGCTCACATTCCCAGCATGCACAGGTATTAATGCAGTGGGAGCAGCTGTGATCGGGTTCGGTATCCCACAGACCACTAGAAATATGCCATGTCCGCTCTTGCCGCACTATTCCAGAGAGACTTACCCGACTAGGAATTTGATGAAATTTTGGATCGCAGAAAGTAGTATCTAAGTACACACTTTGGATGTCTTTCACTCTGGAGGAAAAAACAATTGGTGTTATTCTCATGTGAAATCAAATATGTAGAAAGTTTACAGACTCTCGGTTATTTCACATGATATTTCATTCCATTTGGAGTTTTTTTGTTAAAACAACTTTGTCAAAAAATGATTTCCAAACAATGAAATACATATACATTGCATGTGTGGTTCAGTGAACCCTGACAAATACACGTAATATTACCTCACTCAACACAGAGTGTTACCACCACCCTGTTCCAAGAAGAAAAATTAGTGTACTGCTACAAATATTTCAATCAAGTTTGATTTCCAAGAGAAGTAAAGGCTTGTATTTGGGGAAAGCTGGGCAACAGCACTTTCTAGACGATGCGGTCTTACACTCAGAGTCACACAAAGCTCAGCACCTGCCCCCAGAGTGCAGAAGCTCCATCCTGGCAGCTTCTCCTTTGGCCATTCTGAAGTCTCCCGTGTACAAGACAGTTCCGCGGTCACCCTGAAACAGAAACCTGTAAAGAACACACACATCGGTGACTTCTCAGTCTCACACAAAACCCTAGTAAGCAGTATATACTAAAGCCATAGCAAGTGTTTGCTGCCACACGCAGCTGCTATGGCACAGTGTTAATGGAATTTCAATAGCTCTAAACCACACCGGGCACTCAACTGCCACCTCTTCCCTGGGGGGAAATGGCACAACGGAGATGCCACTGAGTTTGTGACAGAGGTCCCCTGAAAGAGATTAGCACGCTTGACTATACATTGAGATCATCCCTGCTCGTGGAGAGAAGAATCTACGTGACAGGGAAGTGCAAAGCCAATGGAGAAACAGCTGCTGAAGACTCCCATGATGAGAAACCCACATTTCGAACCTGATCTGCACTTCAGCCCCCCACACTGCAAGTCCAATTTGGAAACGAAGATTACAGAAAATGCCAAAAAAAAAATCTAATCTCCCTATTCATATTATTTTCTAGACCCTAAAAATGTAATATTGCTACAAATATTATACATATCTACACATAATAAAATGGCAAACTAGACAAGTCCCCTTACATAACTGATCCTGGGCAATGACCAGCTGGTAAGAGAGTCACGACAATCTCTTCCTTCTAAAAAGAAAATAAAGAAAATAATTATCATTAGGACCCAGCTACACAAAGCCCTCTTTAATAAAACATATTAGAGTACTTCTAGAATGTGCCCTTTCTCCTCATTTCCTCTCTCTCCAAACCCTGGAAACAAATGGAGTCCTTACCCACAAAACAAAGAGTTAAATGCTGAGTTACAACACGACACAGCAATTCCACGCTGACGCATGCGCACAGAGAAATGAACACTTACAGAGACACCTGCACATCCAAGTTCACAGCAGCCTCATCCGTACCAGCCAAGGGAAGAAACAGCCCAAATGCCTATTAAATGGTGAATGAACCAATAAAATGTGGTCTCCCCATACAATGGAATATTATTTGGCCATAACAAGAAATAAGATACTGACATATACTAAAACATGGGTAAACCTTGAAGACATTTTAGGTAAATTGAAAGAAGTCAGTCACAAAAGTCCACATTCGTATGATTCCATTTCTATGAAATTTCCAGGATAAGCAAACCTATAGACACTTCCAGGAAAGTAGCAGTTGCCAGGGGCTGAGAGGAGGGAGAAAGAGGGGGCAACTGCTAATGGGTACAGTTTCTTTCTGAACGATGAAAATATTCTAAAATTGATTGTGGTGATAGATATACAACTCTGTAAATATACTAAAAGTCATTAAACTGTATACCTTCAAAAGGGTGACATTGTATGATGGTGTGTGAATTGTATCTCAATAAAGCTGACGTGTGTGTGTGTGTGTGCATGATTTAGCCTGGCTCCCAGTCACCCTACTGCACCCTGTCCTGTTAGGGCTGAGCCTGATGGTCAATAACGCCTCTCAGCCCTTGGGACAGAGGTAGGGGTCAGGGTGCAGAGCTCTGGACACACCAGCTCCTTCTACAAGCCCAACATTCATTCCAAAGGCTGCTTTAAAACAGGGTCTCCCACTGGTTGGAGCTTGAGACACAACACACAAAAACCACAGAGCACAAGAAAAAACAAAGAGCCACAGGGGGACAGCAAGACTGCTCAGTGACAGCTGCCTGCTGTCTGGGGCCCAATTTGAGAAAGCCTCCCACCAACATAGTTGCAAGGCAGAGAGGCAATGAGAAAAGACTCAAAACAAGTCAGCAAACAGAGTTTGGGATGGCGGTGAGAAACGCTCAGGCCACCCCTTTCCCCCCCCTCCTAAACTGGCCGTGCAGTTCTCCCTCAGGACAATAATATGATGAGGACAACTGGGAAAGCCTATCTTCTCCAAGAAGGAAATGGGAAAAGTCAGCCCCTGACTGTCTGATCACAGCCTCACAGCAAAGGACACCCTCAGAGTTCACCCTGTCAACAAAGCAGGTCATAACCGGACTGTGGAACAAATATTCACTAGATTCACAAAAAAATAGGAAAATACCTCCCAGCTCTAGGAGACAATAAATAAAAGGTAGGTCCACAGGCCTACTATTATTATAACAATATACTCACAACACAAAAACACCTGCTTCTAAATTTTTCATTGATTTTAGAGAGAGGAAGGAAGAGGGAAGGAAGAACAGAGAAAGAGAAGGAGAGAGACACACAGAGAGACATCGATTTGCTGTTCCAAGTAGCTATGCATAAATTGGTTGATTCTTGTATGGGCCCTGACTGGGGATCAAACCCACGGCCTAGGTGTATCAGGACAAGGCTCTAACCAACTGCGCTACCCGCCAGGGCAACTCGCTTTTAAATTTGTGGACAAAAAATATATTGGATCCACCTGGACAGGGTCTTTTTCTTGAATAAAAAAAAAATTTCAGAGGACTTCCGCCAAGATGGAGGCATAGGTGGATAAGCCGTGCCTTCTCACACAACCAAGTTTAGAGACAACTAAATATTAGCAACAGAAAACACAGCCAGAACACAGAAAATTGAACTTTTCGGAAGTCCGTTAACAACAAATTCTTCAGCCTGACCAGTAAGGGGCGAAACCAGCAGCTGGTGGAGCGGGGTTGCACAGGAAAACTCGGTCAGAGGGACTCAGGCGCGTAGAATCCAGGCGCAGGGTTGGACCTAGTGAGCGACCGAGCAAGCGACCAAGCCAGCAACCACAGGGGGAAACAGCGAGGGAGCAGGGCTGCGGGTTGACTGTGGTCGCACATTTGTGCGCGGATAGACAAGCGAGGGAGTGGGCAATTGGACCGGGACCCAGCGGGTCCCCACAGCAAGCGGCAGGGAGGGCTCCACCATTTCCCTGCTCTGACCCCACCTCCACATACAGCGTCATAACCCAGCGACTCTGAGTGGCCTGGCCCTGGTGAACCACCTAAGCCTCTGCTCCTCATCCAGTGGTGCGAAACAGCAGAGGGGGTCGCCATTTCCCTGCTCTGACCACACCCCCACATACAGCGTCACAACCCAGCGACCTGGGAGTCCAAGGCTCCGCTCCTCACACTTAAAGGGCGCAAAGAGACCAAAAATGGCTCAAGAAGATCTCAAAGCCCCAGAGCCTATAAATCGAAGCGATGAAAAAATAGCAAAACTCTCAGACGCACAGTTTAAAACACTGGTGATCAGGATCCTCACAGAACTGGTTGATTATAGCCACAAATTAGACAAATATATGAAGGCGAAACTAATTGAAATAATGAATTGCAGGACACCAGTAGCGATGAAAAGGAAACTGGGACTCAAATCAATGGAGTGGACCAGAAAAAAGCAAATAATGGCCAAACAGAAAAGAATCAAGAAGCAAGAATTCAAAGAAATGAGGAGAGTCTTAGGAACCTGGAGGTTCCTGGAGGACATCTTTAAACGCTCCAACATCCGAATTATAGGGGTACCAGAAGGGGGAAAGGCACAGGTACCAGTGGAAAACTTATTTGAACAAATAGTAAAGGAGACTTCCAGGAAATCCAGGAAGCTCAGAGAGTCCCAAAGAAGCTAGACCCAAGAAGGAACACACCAAGGAACACACCTCATAATTACATTAGCCAAGATTAAAATGAAGGAGAGAATCCTAGAAGCAGCAAGAGCTAAGGGGACAGTCACCTACAAAGGAGTCCCCATCAGACTGTCAGCGGATTTCTCAAAAGAGACCTTACAGGCAAGAAGGGGCTGGAAAGAGGTATTCCAAGTCATGAAAACCAAAGACCTACAACAAGATTGCTCTATCCAGCAAAACTTTCATTTAGAATGGAAGGACAGATAACGTGCTTCTCAGATAAGATCAAATTCAAGGAGTTCATCATCACCAAGCCCTTATTATATGAAATGTTAAAGGGACTTATCTAAGAAAAAGAAGTTAAAGAAACATGAACAGTGAAAGGACAACAAACACGCACACCTAAACAACCACACCTAAAACAAAAGCAAACTAAAAGGACAGCTAGATCAGGAGTGGAAACATAGAAATGAAGATCTCAAGGAGGGTTAGCAACAGGAGAGTGGGAGGAGGAGAAGGGGGGAGAAGGTACAGAAAATAAGTAGCATAGACAGTAGATAGAAAATAGATGGGGGGGGGCAAGAATAGTATGGGAAATATAGAATCTAAAGGACTTGAGACACATGGTCATAAACTAAAGGGAGGGTAATGGTGGGGACGGGGGGGTAGAGTGGAGGGGAATGAAGGGGGGAATAGAACAACTGTAACAGCATAATCAATAAATTTAAAAAATTTTTTCAGAAAAAAAATCACAATGTACATAAATCTCCTGCAAAAAGATTAAGGACTGTTTTATATCCTGAACATTAAAATAAGCTTATTGAATGTGACAATGACATCACACAATATCAATAACTGACATCTCCATCATCAGCACATAATATTAAGACGGAGCCATCCTGACAGAAGTCATACCCAAGGCTTCAGAGGAAGAAAATAAATATGTTGCATATGGTGTTTTTCCCCACAAAGTCACTCAATTCCAGTAATTTTTATTTATGGTTAAATGAGCATTCAAACTCAAGGAGAAAAGCAAATAATCATTTTAGCAATAAATAATTTTCAAAAACATGATATTTAATATTTAGTTACCTCGCCTGATGCTTCATCAACTAAAGGTATCTGGGTAGGAGTTTCAATTTCAATTGATATCTATTAAAATAAAATAAGAGGTCATGTGTACATCACCGTGGATACTTTCACAGTTTTCCATGGCTTTATATGCCTTTGCCATCTCAAACACAGAAAGGGGGTTACCAGAAGTTCCAGGCTCTCTAACAGTTTCTAATTTCACCATAATAAATGTTATAAACAGCTTGAAAACATGATGAAGCTACAATAATACCTTTCTCAAGGCTGATGTGGCAAAGTATATTAACTGCCTTATAAACTGGTATCTACAGCAATTCTATTTTGACAAATTCAATCTTCCTCCCTTCACCTTCCCACCCCTTTGAACTTGAGTCTGTGTAAAACATGTAGTCCTGTGTTCTACGTGTTTAGGCTTTGTACTGCAGAACAGTCTGGATCTGTCCGTGACAAGTTGGTCTGGCTCACAGACCTGAGCTGCTGCTGAGTGCTCCGAAGCAGACTGGCACATTTACTAGCACAGCAGCTAACACGGAGAAGCGCCTAACGTGGAGTAGATGATGAGTGAATGAGGGAATGAATGAAGCAGCATAGTTTTTCATCTCTTACGTTCACACATGAAATGGCCTTTTCCTCCTTTGTACTACTATTAACTATTTGGCCAGCAGGTTTTATCTTTTTACTATCTCCTACAATAATTCATCTAGTATAGGGATTATTTGTTCTCCAACATCTAGCAGAATGCACCTATAAAAAAAACATCTAACCCTGGGGCTTTATTGAAGAAGTGATCATTAAGAATTGTTTTAGGTTTCTCTCCCTTTTCCTCCTGCCTGTCCCCTCTCCACCTCCCTCTTCTTGGCTGCCTTCCCCCACCCCCTTGATTCTCCCCTCCCTGCTCTTATAAATAAATAAATAAATAAATAAATAAATAAATAAATAGATAAATAGTTTTAATTTCTTGGTTACTGATTTATTCAAGTTTTTCATTTTTCTTGCCTCAATTTTGTATTTTCCCACTTTTCCAGATATTTATCCACTTTGTCTAGATTATCAAATACACCACCATAATAATTGTCAAAAATGCATTGCGGTTAATAATAGTTATTTTCCTTTTGTCATTCTGTACTTTTACATGAATCTTTTCAAAATCAATATTGGCAGAAATTTTTCTCTAGTTCGGTGAAAACCAGCTTTTAGTTTTGTTTATCTTCCTTTTCCTGTGGTAGTTGTTAGTCTCCATATCACTATCTCGTCCTTTTTAAAAAATTATTTTGTGGAATAAAAAAGAGGCCACACACTAATCTCCTGAGCTCAAGGGAGGCCTGTATTGGAGCCTTTTTTAAGGCTCTGAGACCTACAGTAACCACAAGCGATGGGCTGAAATTTAAAATTATTACCTAACTAAAAGCAGTTTATGGCAGGAAGCCATGTCCTAGGCTCTTTCCTGACAAAGGTAAATCTTTGCCTTAACTAAGCCCGTCTGTTGTCCTTTGACACCTACAATAACAGGCCTGTGGAATGTCAGTGTCATTCCCTTTTTCCCGACCCCTCAAGCACAGGACTGCACCAGAGCACCAAAGACCACAAATCCCCTCACTTCTATTATTACTGAGTTAATTGTTGACTCTTAACTATCCTGTACCCACCTATGTAAAAGAAGTATGAGTCTATCATTTTGCTTTTTATACAACCCCAAAGTTTTCCATGCTTTGCTTTCTTCTACCTCCCTAATCTATCACGACAGATTTCCTGTAACCCGCTGACGTCTTCTGATTGTAAGGGATGAGGCAGGGTGCAGAACTGACATTCTCTGGGGCATTTCCTCAATCCGTTGAGGTTTTGCTTCCAGGCTCCTGTCATCGGTTTGAACGTTCCTTACATTGACAATTTCCTTCTTCACATATCCTTAGATTTGCTTTGTTGCTCCTTTTCCTTATTGAGTTGAAGATACTCCATTTAATTCTAGTCTTTCTCCCCTAAATAACATATTTAATGCTACCAGTTTTCCTCCAAGTACTAATTCAGCTGTCCTGCACATTTGGACATGTTCTGCTTTCATTGCCCCTCGGTTCTACACAGTGTATGTTTTTCTTCACAATTTCATCTTTAACCTAAGAGTTGTTCATTGTACACATTTAATTCCCAGATGCACACAATAGGATGACTTTAGCTCTCCTTTTATTTCTGGTTTCCAACATCATGGCATTATGGTTAGAGAACAGATCACTAGGATTTCTTAAAATTTCTTTTGTGACATAATACATAGACAATTTGATAAAAGATCTTGTTTTCTCGGTTTGTGTTTGAAGCTCTGGATTTCTATTAGTTCACTTTGATCAATTATGTCATTCAACTCTTCTGCATTTTCCCTTATTTCCTGCTTCCTTCATCTTCTGGATTCTGAGAGTGCTGTAGGAAGCATGCCAGCAATAACTGTTGAGTGCCTGTTGCCCGCTTCAACTGTGTGGTGGCCTTGTACCAACTTAGCTGAGCCGAAACAGTGCTAGAAGTCCATGTAAACTTCCAACTCAGGGTTGAGATGGAGAAGGCAGAAGTAAACCAACAGGCATTTTTAATGCTCAGAAGGACACCAGAAATTGTAACAGCTCATGTGTGTTTTTGATCTGCTGGCTCAACACACACACACACACACGCACGCACGCGCGCGCGGCAGGATGGCAGCAGCCCCATCCTCTGCGGGATCTCTGTCCTCCTTCAACCTCTCAGGGCCCTGGGCCAGGTGAGTGGAGCTTGGTGGCAAAGGGAGTGGCAGCACTACTGGGGTTGGGAGGAGGGAAGGACAGACGCAGCTTCCAGCCTGTCTCTGCTCTTCTCCACTTCTTTCTCAGCTTTCCTTCCTGATTGCTGACCAAGGCCTAATACCAAGGGCAAGGTTACAGTCTTGTATTGTGTCCCTGTGTGGAGGGAGGATGGACCCCACCCCAACTGGAAGTGGCTCATGGGGTCAGAGAGAGAGCAGGGGTGAGTGGCCCTGGTTCTCGCGGAGGCTGGAGGCGGGGCTGAGCTTGCCTGGTTTGAACTTCCAAGTGGGTGCCCCAGGGGGGTAGGCTTTTGTATCAGCTTGCCCAGGTGTGCGGCAGAAGCAGAGAGGAAGTGGAAGTTGAAAGCTGTCAGCAAACAACAGACAGACTATGACACCTGTTCAGACTTCTGTGCCAGTTTCCACATTATTTAGGGTTTAACCCACATAATGAACCCTAATTCTATTCATTTACTGAGGGTCATTTATCTCATCAAACATGGGCCATCAGTTATTACTTCATCCAGTTTGAGGTTACTCTGTCGATTCATGTATGTTCATATCTTCTTGATCAATTGTTCCTCTTAACAGTAAATAACATCCTCTTTGAAACTTAGTGATTTTTTTTTGCCTTCAATTCTACTTTATATGCTATAAAAATTGCCACTCTGGCATTTTTACCTTCTAATTGTTTGGTACACATTTTCCTTTTTTTCCCATTTCAACTTGCATATATCCTTCTGTTTTAACTATGTCTCCTGTAGACTAAGACAAGTGGACCTTTCTTATTTTTTTAACCTGAGAATTTGTCTCTTGATCAATAATTGAATTAAGTCCACTGATATTTACCGTAATTGCTGTTATAACAGAACCTTTCCTGCCATCTTCACATACTTCTTTTTTCTCCCCTGTATCTGCCTTCCATTAGTTAGATCTAGTTTATTCTGCCAGAATCAAAACTACTCATTCTGTTTTTATTCTGGTTATTAGCCCTTTCTTATTATAACCCCTAAGTCTTATTTTTCCCATGTTGTAAATATAGGATTTATTAATTATGTTAATAACCATTTGACACTTGGAGTATTAAAATGCAACTTAGCAAGAGGGTCAATGAGATAAAACAAAACTAAGAACCAAGATCAAACTGTTGAGGGACAAGAAAAGTAAATCAAAAAATGCTGACCTCTTCTGAACTGCTGCACTACAAAGACCACCAATATTGTGGTAAGTGTAGATAAACACAGTGTGTGAGTAAGTGGGAACCCCAACACTTTGTTCAGTCCACCTCAAAAAATATTCCCCAGTCACAAAAGAAGAATTAGCATCATTCAAAAAAATAAAACTTACAATTCTTTTCTCCCAAAATCTGTACTTCGGGCTAGTTAACAACAACTCTTTAGTAACAGGCGAACAGTATAAGTAAACCTTCAAGCTGAAAGAGAAAGGGAAAAAACCGATTTCAGTCAGATCCAAAGTGAGCCACCCTGGTGACCAGGGAGCACATTTCATCACATGTCAGTTCATCTGGAATAAGTGAACTGGCACGAGGAGTGTTAGAGGGTCCCCAATATGCCGACGCCCCAGAGACTCTCTCAGTCCCATGGAGAGTGTGAAGGAACAGGGAAGAAACAGATGGAAAAAAGTGTCCTCTGACCTCAAAAGGTCGGCCCTCACCAATTTTCTGTTAAAGGTGCATGCTTGTACCTGATCAGTTCTGTCTGATCACCAAATGCTAAGCTGCCTCTGGGTATGGAAAGGGAATGTGGAGAGGAGGACAGCAAGCTTCTGTTTTGCTTCATATGAACATATTTTGTTGTTTTTTTTTAAGTGCACAGAGATCAATTTCATGATAAATTTTAAAAACTCAACAGTATAGCTTCACGGTTAGGAATATAGTCTGTGGCAAACTGTATTTTCCAAAGGCAGCCACACTGACAATATCCCATCCATACACGGTCTTCTTACAAAATGGACATGGAAATCCCTCCACTGACCGAGGTCTCTGCGTTAACCTCCCCCTGAACCTGGGTAGAACTTAACCTGTGTTAACCGACAGAGCATGATGGAAGGGACACTGCAGAATTTTTGAGGCTAGATCTCCAGGCCATATGGCTGCCTGCTAGCTTTCTCCTGGGACATAACGCATTTTTTTTCCTTTGAGTTTCCATTTAAGAAGTCCAGCTATCCTGAAACCACCATGGGAAGAGATTTCTTTAGAGCTAGGCAGGCCCAAGGTGCCCCAGCTGTTTGAGTCTTCTCCCAGGAGTCACACAAGGCAGGAATGAGCCTTGAGATAAGGTCGGCCCCCACAGGGTGCTCCGGTCAGGAAGAAACCAGCCACCCGCACTGGGCCCCAGCAGAACTCCTGACCCACAGAGGCTGAGAGAGAGAGGATACATAATTAGTTGACTTAAGTCACTATGTTGTAGGGTCATTTGTTACTCAGCAATGGGTACCTAATATTCAGACTCTAAAATCAGACAGACCTGGTTGAAATCCTGGTCCTGCCACCTATTGGCTGTGAGACCTTGGGCAACTAATTTAACCTCTCTGGTTCCTCAGTTTCCTCATCTGTAAAACAGAAATAATATCTATAATAATAATACCTAAATAATATCTATTAAAGTTATCAAAAGACAGGGATTTTCATCTGGGTTGCTGACTATGGCATTCCCAACACTGGCACTCAGAGAAGCTGCTGAATAAACATGTAGTGCCTAGCATATATATAAGTACTCAGAAATATAACAATCATTATCAAGAACACAGACCATTGATATCCCTTAACAGACAGCACTGAACTTGACATTCAGTGGTTCAAAAGTCAAAAAGTCAGTGGGACCCTTTCCCAAAATGTATCTTGGGAATTTGGAGTTTAGATTTAGGTAATGGCTGCAGGAAAACAATACAATAGTTCAGCTTTAAGGAACAATCTGCCCTGACTAGTGTGACTCAGTGGATTGGGTATCATCCTGCAAACCAAAACATCTAGGGTTTGATTCCCAGTCAGGGCACATGCCTGGCTTGCAGGCCAGGCCCCCAGTTGGGGGCATGCGAAAAGCAACTGATGGATGTTACTTTCACACATCCATGTTTCTTTCCCTCCCTCCACCTCTCCCTAAAAATAAATAAATAAAATCTTTTTCTTTAAAAGCCCAGCAATATTACATGATTCTTTAGAGTAAGACAACCATTCACACACACACACACACACACACACACTTACAGAAATGAAAGCAAACGGGCTGCTGCCGCACCCAAGAGCATGGGTGAATCACACAAAGGTGTTAAGTGAAACAGAAAAGTCCATTCAGTGTGACTCTATTGACATGAAGGTCAAAAGCCAGATCTAAACCATGATGACAAAAGTCAGAGCAGAGGTGACCTTAGGGAGAGGGGGGCTGACTGGGAGGAGGAAGAGGAATACTTTTTTAAAAAAATTTATTTATTTACTTATTTATCTTTAGAGAGGAAAGAGAGAGGGAGAGAAATACCAATGTATGGTTGCCTCTAGTACATCCCCTGCTGGGAACTGGCCTGCAGGGAACTGGCCTGCAACCCAGGCATGTGCCCTGACTGGGAATCGAACCGCGATCCTCTGGTTCGCAGGCCTGTGCTCAGTCCACTGAGCTACACCAGCCAGAGCTAGCTTGTTCTATTTCTTGATTTGGGTGGAAGCTTCAAAATGTGTTCAACTGTAAAAGTTCATCAGATTGTAACATGATATATGTACTCTTCTGTATAGGTATTACAACTCAATTAAAATGGTGACTTAAAGACAGACACACACAAATAAGTAGCAAAATACATTACCTGCACTCCAACCTTCTTTGCAAGGCTGGGGCTCTTAATCCTTTCATGTGATCTAAAAACAAAAATAATAAAATATCATAAACACATTATTTCTTCAGATGCTCACTTAGCCCAAGGAAAACCAGTCATCTGCTCTTTTTTAAAATTCCTTTTAAGAGAAAGTACATGACAGGTACACTTTTATAAGAGAGCAAACTCATGGATTCTTTCTTCTGCAGGTGAAGAATCCATCTGAAAATAGGACAGAAACTACTAAGGGTTGGCCATTTCTTCCTTGGAACAATCAGAAGCCACTTAAAAGGAGAATGGTCCCCTGAATCTTAGGTCTGAGTATAAATCACTCTGAGTAGCCAGAGAAGAATGAGTGACCAGGGCCTCATTCATTCAGAACTGCTTCCAGCAATTTCCTTTACCCCCTTCTTTCATTTCAATCCCACGACCCCTCAGTCCTTGCTCTCTGTGACCCATTCAATTCCAGTCACTTAAGTTAGTCCATTGTGAAATTCAATCTTGCTTTCATGGAATCCTCTAGGAAATCCTTCAGGCTTAGGCCAGAATGAGAAGGGTTTTGTTTTCTTCCTGCCTCCTGTGACTGCTGGGTTGAAAGTGGGACATTTCTATCCACACAGGCTTGCTCCTCAGCCTTCTAGATTAACAGACACAGAATGACATTTAAAGACAGGTAACATTTAAACCAAACAGCACATTAATACACAGTGCATTCTAAATACATTCTGAATCTTGAGCATACAAAGGCCTAGATAACAATGACCAAACACTTCTAAATTGTTTCGTTAAACCAATTCTAATTATTACCCCCTACACACACGCCCCAGCTTATCTGCAGCGATCCTTGACTCCACTGAACACAAGGCAGGCACGTGGCACACCGCACGTGGCAGGCCTTCACAGGTGCCTCCACTGGACGGTCCAGCTGCCCCCCTCAGAGGGTGGATCTCCTCAGGTCACTCGTAGCCCAGGCCCTTAGAGCCTATGGGTACGCCAGAGGGTGGGACTCTCAGTAACTGGGGTTTCTGGAGGGTTGGTGCCATGGCAAAAAGGAGGCAGGCTCAGGACTCTGCTCTGTGCTCTGAAACTAAGTCAGCAGGCTTTAGTTTCTGGATAAAACCCTAGAGCTGTTTTATCAAGACGCCCCAACCCCCACTCCTGACTGGTTGCCAAGAGAGCCTGAGTGAGTTTGCTAGTAGTGTACCCAGACTCCTTTCCAGGGCCCTTCTTCCTTGACCAGGGTAAACCCTCCCCAACACAGTAGGGTGACTGCTTCAGGCCATGTGTCCCCTCTGATCCTCCAGCCCTCGCTGATGGTTAGTGATGCCTGCCCCCACCCCAAACAGCACTGGGCTCCAGGTGGCCCGTAAACTAGCATCAAGTGGGTCCACGGCCTACCCCAAATTGTATCAAAACATGTTTATGTGCACTTTTTCTAGCAAAAGAGTTCATGGATTTTATCAGATAGTATACTAGGGCTGTCATAACAGAATACCAAAAATGGGGGTGGGGAGGGGGGGTTAAACAGCAGAAATTTATTCTTTATAGGTCAAGAGTCTGAAGTCCAAAGTTGAATTCTGGTAAGACCTCTCTTCCTGGCTTGCAGGCGGTCAGTCACCTTCTTGCTGTCTGCTCACTTGACTTCTCCTAGGTGTGTGCGAAGAGAGAGAGGGAGAGAGCTCTTCCTCTTCCCACCATTATCACCCCATCTCACCTTATTACTTTCTAAATGTCCTATTTCTGAATACAGTCTCACTGGGGCTAGAGCATCAAAACATGAATTTGGCAGAAGCCACAATTCAGTCCACAGAACATAAAAAAAAAAAAAAAAAGTCAGGCAACAGAGGAAACCACCAAAAGCAGAAGTTGGGTGCTTTCCCTTGAAGAGTTTACACCCTGCAGGAGTGAGCAGACCCACAGGTGACTCCAGAACAGGAAGCATTATAAACTTCTCGAAAGTCAATTTCTTCCTCAATATACAAACTAATGATTTGACTTCACAGATTTCTTTAGATAAATTCTTTCTCCAAACTCATTACTCCTAAACATGAAGGCAAACCCCTCTGCCAAACTTTAATCATGGCTAACACATTCAGAAACTCCAGAGACATTTAACATAAAAGGTAAAAAACAAAAAACCAAAAAAACCACCCAGGGGCACCTTATCCAGCAGCAGACTCTCAGTGAAAAACCAAACCAAAATAATGTTATTCTCAAGAATACGCAGAAAAACCCTCAAAGAGGCTCACAGTGCTGTTTAGCAAACGGAGAGAGGAGCTTCAAATTTTCCTCATTAAAGAGAGATAATTAGTGGCTCTGAGTAAGAAAAGTACAGAATCTGGAACAAATAATGCCCTTTTTATTACAAAATCATAAGCATGTAATCCTGTAACATAACAATATCACATTCAAGCACACCACATAACATTTTAGGTGAAATGTTCAAATTAAAACTATAAATTATTACACCCACATTATTTCCCTACCAACCACACTCAAGCACGCGTTACTTCTGTGGGACCCTGTGCTCACCCGAAGCAGTAACCGCCAACAATTTACACCAACTTAAAGTGATTGATTTCACGCAAGACAACAGCTGGTCTAACACCAACCCCGTGAAGAAGGGCAGGGTTTGATATCCATAATTTACTTTAAAATCACACCGTGTGACGTGTCTGCGCTCCAATCCACTCCAAGAGCGGCGGGAGCCTCCCACTAGCAGCTACTCGCAGCTTCAGCTTATTTTCGCCTCTCATCAGTGCCAAAGGCAGTGCTAATTAACATAACGATGTTAAAACTGTTTCTTTGGTGAAGTTAGGGACTCTTTAATCAGCATAATAGGTATTTTAAAAGGACAATGACTGTGAAGTTAGTCGTGTTTCATTTCCGAAGACTGGCTGAAATGTTTTAGAGACACTCTAGCCTTGTCGGGAGCATCTAGCCTGGAGGCCGTATCGTTAGGGGTGAAGCTTCAGGCTTCATCCCTAACAGGATCCACCTGTGAAATCTGAAGTCTTCCAGTTGCCTGAGCCGGCCATCTACGTATATATGGTAAACCATATGCTGCCTCGGGACTCAAATGAATCTTTTCTATTGGATATGGACAAATTAGCTAAAGCGGAGCAGGGGTCGGGGGAGAGCTTGCTGTTTGTTGAGCTTAGAGACAGGATGTTTGATTTCACAGTGCGAGTGTGCCTTCTTGCTAATAAATGTCTACGACTCCTGGCCGCTAGGAGAGCTTCCAGAACACAATCATTGTCCCTGATCACACTGTCCCGGTTCGGTGAGCAACTGACAATTTGTATAGATTAAAATAATTAATAATAATAATAATAATAATAATAATAATAATAATAATAATAAAGCCTCGGAGGCTGAAGAGGCAGACTAGGACAAGGTGCAGGTGCGAGTCTCTCTCCTAACCCCCCACAGCCCGCACTCCCTCGCTCCAAGACCCGGACTCCCTACTTTCCTCCACTCCAGGCCGCGGGCGATATCCCCGCAGGGCTAGAACCCGCGCAGCCCGAGTGCTCAGGTGCTCCGGTGCCCGGAAGCGGGCGGCACGCCTCGTTCACTCACCCTTGTGGCAGTGGGACAGGAAGTAGGCACGGGCCTTCAGATTCTCTCTGTCGAAGCGGTCTATGGAGATGTTAGGATACTCTGCCATCTGTCCCTCAAAGCAACTCATAGCGCCAGTCAACCCCCGCGGATTAGCCTCCCCACAAGCCCGCCGCGGAAGCCAAGGAACGCTCCCACCGCGCCTACACTTCCGGGAAGCTGCTGCGGCCTCACCATTGGCCGGTTGGGCTCAGCCACATCCAATCATGGGAGCTCTTCGGCGAGGGGGAGGAGCCTGGGAGCGTTTTCTCCGCCAGCGACCAGGGGGTTTAAACTACAGAACTGCGCTGCTCTGTAGTGAGGCCTCTGAGCCTAGGGTTAGGGCAGCCGGGTTAGATCTAGGGTGTCGCGCGAGGAGTGTGGCCCATGCCGGAAACCTTGACGCTGCACGGTATCGTATTGGTGAAGAGTAGTCCATACCCATGCTGGAACAATAAGTAGTGCGAAGAGAAACAACAGCGGTAGCAGGCGGCTCCACCCAAAAATGCAAAGTGGGTGCGGAGCTTTTCTTGAAATCAAGTCTGTGCTTCTCTTCCTGCTTGTCCACTGTCAGCTTGAAAGCAGAACTCAGTTTTCCTTCTCTTCCCACTTTCTGCCTTATGGGATAACCATGAGGATGATATGAGAAAAAAATTATATCTGACTCGTGGTAACTATTACTTCCCGTTTCCATTTGTAACTCCACACTGAATACAAGATCCCTGATGATCACAACTCAGATGCATGTTCTTACGGTAGACTTGTAAAGATCCCAAGGATATATTAGCTGCTAGCCTCCCTCCCCCTTCCACTGCCCTTTTGAGTTATATTTTTTGAGAATTGCATAAAACAAACAGAAAATGTGGTAGAATGATGGGACAATGGTCTGGAATTTGTTAAGCACCAAAACAACTCTATGTAAAGATTTGTTAAAGTATTAAGATTCACCAAATTGTCACAATGGCATTTGTCACTCCCTTTCTAGTAATTCTCTGACACCAGAATATTAATAAAAACAAAAAACTCACTTTTAACGCTTTGTGCATAGCACAGTGACAAGCCTTGCAATGGTTACATAGGTAACTCAGGTGCACATTCGAGTAGTGATCAGAGACAACAAGTTTGAAGAACGTTCTAAATGAATGTTTCCACAGGGACACAAAGTAATATAGGAATAAATCCAGGAACAACTGAGTTCTCACCAGGGGAATCAAGAATCAGAATGCCACCCTCTGAGAATATCAACATGTTCCTGCAGCCATGCTACTTAAGAGTTCTGTTCAAATACAGATCCTTAGGAAATGTGTTTTTTTTTTTTTAAGGAGGAAGTGGTGGAGGACAGAAAAGAAAAGAAAATAATGGTGGTGGTGATAGAGAGGCATAGATACCATGGTTATTAATTTAAGTAGAGCACTCTGCTAATATACTATTGCCAACACCTTTGATTCAGTATAAGATGGTTTGTCTTAAAACAAAGGAGGGCTATTGCATTGGCTAGGTTGTTTATACCTAAAAGACAAATTCTGCAGTGGGCCTGGTAGCTGGGTTCACAGACAGGGTGGCTTAACCAACAGAAACTTATTTTCTCACAGCTCTGGGAGCTGAAAATCAGAGATCAACATGTCAGCAAATTTGATTTCTCTCTCCTTCAGCTATCCAGCTTCTTGCTGTGTCCTCAAATGGTCTTTTTCTCTGGATGCTCACGCCGCTGTATCTCTCCCTCTGACAAGGACATCAGTCCTATTGGATTAGGGCCCTGCCCTTATGAGATTATTTAACCTTAATTATCTCTTTAAAGGACCTATATCCAAACCCAGTCATACCGAGGATGAGAGCTTTAATATATAAATTATAGGGGAACACCATTCAGTCTATAACAGTGTTTTTGTCCAATTTACCCCTTATTATAGACATAGTCCTTAGACTAAGGATTAGGGGCCCACTCCACTCCAGTATGACGTGTCTGAACTAATTACATCTGCAACAACCCTATTTCCAAGTTCGGTCATATTCTGAGGTACTGAGGGTTAGGACTTTAACGCATGGGTGGGTGAGAGGGAGCACAGTTTAAGTCATAACAAAAAGCAATGTAAAATAATGTACACAATGTGTATTTTATTAAGTTTTTAATATAAAAATAAGGTACTATGCTTACCACTAAGGATGAACAAGTTTAAGTTTCAAAACATACTATATAAATTATAAGGTTTAACTGCAGGTAGCATTCTTCAGTTTTGTGATTCCCCCCCTTCCATGTTCTGATTTCTGTTTCCGAAGATGTTGAAAGGATATTTGGCTTAGAACTAGCAGAGAAATGTATGGATTCATTCAAGTTAATATTTCAAAACAGATAGCTCAGGGACTAGGAATCTAGTCACTGGATTTTGAAGGCCCAGTTAGAGCCACTACAATTTGTGACATCTTGGTTAAGTTAAACTCCCTATAACTCAGTTTTCTCATTTGTAAAATAGAGATAATAGATAAAGTCTCCCAGAGAATAGATCGGTGCCCATGGGGGAGAGATGGGCCAGTAAGCCAGCACAAGCAGAATAAGGGAACTGAGGCAGATAGTTAAACAAGCAGTTTGCAACCAACTAGTAAATCCTATCTTCCTTAAGCCACGGACACTTAAGAGTAAATGCTTTACACTTCTCCCCAACCGGAGGGTAAATAACTTAAATCACCCCACTCAGGGAGATTGACAGCAGGAATCCAATTACTGCCATTTGCCAAACACACCCAAGGACAGATGAATTTAAGGGAATAAATCTCATTTTTGTGCGTCAGCATAAAGCTGATGAATATCCTACTGAGATCCTCCCTAGGATCCTCCCTAAGGTCTCCACTTTTAAAAGCTTTTAGAAGGAGTCCCAGCGCATGGTCTCCCTCCCAGGAGCACACCCGCACCTTACCCTCCCCTACTTCTTCCTCCACACGCGTTCATGTCCTAAACTCTGAGGGACTCCACCAGGCTTAGAACCAGGGAGAGATGAGCAGCAGCAGCTCATCCTGGGCTAACCGCCTGGCCCTGTCCCCAAGGCTCCCTTTTCTCTGACTTCTTAGTGAGCTAAAGCAGCCCTGCCAAGGCTCATTTCCCTTCCTAGTCCCTCCTGCTGCTTCTTTTATCCCAGGCCCTTCCTTGCTTCACTGCCCCGAGTTTTAATAAACATTCTCTAAAACTCACCTGGACTCCTGTTGTGAAATCTTTCCTGCATGAAATCAAGAACCTGGCCCTAGGCAGACCCGCTCAGGGCAAAGCCCCCTTTCCGGTAACGGGAGGGAGGAATTGGGTGGAGGTGATCAAAAGGTACTGATTTCCACTTACAAAATGAACAAGTTTTGGAGATGAAATGCACAGCCTGGTGGCTATGTTTGACAACAGTAAATTGTATCTGTGGGTTTGAGAGTTGCTGAGAGAGTAGATCTTAAAGTTCTCATCACAAGAAAACAAAATCGAAACTATATGAGGTGATGGATGTTAACTAAACTTATTGTGGTAGTCATTTGGAGATATATAGATAATTAGATAGATAGGTAGATAGATAGATATATCAAGTCATTACTTGTATACCTTAAACTGATATAATATTATGTGTCAATTGTATCTCAAAACTAGGGGCAAAGAATGAGTCGGTGATACAACCGAAACAACATGGATGTATCTCAAAATAGTTATGCTGAGTGAAAGAAGACAGATAAAAGAAGAGTACATGTGGTATTATTCCATTTATATAACATTATTAAAAATGTGAGCTGACCAAAAGGACATAAAGCAAATCAGCAGTTGTCTGAAGGAACAAGGAAACAAGTTCATTAACTTGATTATGGTGATGGTTTCACAGGTGTACACATATGTCAAAACTTACCAAATTATATGCTGTTAAATATGTTCTTTTTTGCATTTCAATTAGAGATCAATAGGTTTGTGAAAACATGTTTGCAGTAATGTATAGGAGAATGGTAACGAAGTAAACAAGATCATCAAGGATATTCTTTTTCTACAGGGGCTGATGGATTAAGAAGACATATGTGGCCAACTCACATAATAGAAGGTGGTTTCTTAAAACCACAGTGTACACTTATTTTGCAATAGTTACCTCTCCTCTCCACCACCTTTACCTCTTCTCACCTGCTACCCTCAAGACTCTGATTGATTAAAAAAACATTATTATCAACTGGGAAAAGGAAGGAAGGAAGGAAGGAAGGAAGGAAGGAAGGAAGGAAGGAAGGAAGGAAGGAAGGAAGGAAGGAAGGAAGGAAGGAGAACTAACTAAAGCCCTGGAAGATAATAAGTATTCAATAAATATTAGCTTTTGTCAATTATTGGTCATCTACTAAGTGTCAGGTACTGTGCTTGAACCTGGAAGTACATAAAACAATTAGCTAGGGCATACTAAGAGCTCACAGTCTAGCAGAAAGAGAAACCCATAGAAAAAAAGCTTTTACAGTGCTCTTAATGGAAGTGTGCTCAAGATGTAGTGTCGAGACCAAGGAGAGAACTCAATTCTGCAAGAAAGGGCCATCAGAAAAACTGAACAGAGAAGATAAATTTGAGTTCAGCATCCAGGCCCTTGAACAGTGGAAGTCCCTGGAATGAGCTTTCATTCACTCTGGACACTGAAAATAGTTCCCTTTAACTAAAGTGTTGGGCTCAGAAGAGTTGAAATAATAGGGACTTAATAAGGGTAGTCAGGGCTAAATCAGATAAGGGACCAGACCATGAGGGCCTGTCCACCAAGCCAAAAAGTTTAAACTTTAACTTGAGTGGCAGTGGGCAGCCTGGGTAGTTTGAAAAAGGGGAGTGACATGTTAGATTAGAACAATATTTCTCAAAATGTGGACCCTGGAAGAGCATCAGCAACCATATTGGAGAATCTGTTAGAAATTTAAATTTTCTTCCCCAGCCCAGACCTACTAAATGAGAAGGGAAAAAAAAAATCAATATTGTAATTACTGTTTGTAATAATAAAAAAATATAAAAATTAAAAAAAAAAATTTAAAAAAGAAAAAAAAAAGATAAGGTAACTGTAGTTAAGTAACTAACACAAGGTTATATTGCTAGTAGTAGAACCCAGTTTCAAATCCAAGGTCATGCCACAGACTCCATGCTATTAGTCACTATGGTATACTGCTTCCATGGTGTCATAGTGGCACAGGTGGTGGCGGTAAAACATACTCATTCAATATGTATTGCTTTAGCATTGACTGTGTGCCAGGCACTGTTCTAGGAGTTTCATTAATAACATTTCTGTCTTTATGGAATTACATTCCATAACATTTCTGTCTTTATGTAGAAAAAAACAAACACTAGAAGACAGTGAGGAGAACAGAGAACATGATGGAAGAGTGAAATGAAGAAATAGGGAGGGGCAAGTCAAGATATTAAAAAAGACTCAAAGATGAGGAACTCAGACAAAGAGATAACAGGAGGAAGACCACTCCAGGCAGAGGGAGCAGCTACAAATAAGGCCCCAATGTGGGGACTACTCCAAGCACAACCAGGAGGCCAGTGTGGCTAGAGAGGAGTGCTCCAGGGCTACAGAGCAAGGAAGGTGTGACAATCTTGTAGGGCTTCAATGTCCTTGTAGAGACTGTTTTTTCAGTCTGTAAGATGGAGAACCATTGCAGGATTGTGAGCAGAAGAGAAGGTTGACTTATTTTTTAAACAAATCTCACTGACTGTTGTATTGAGAATGGACAGTCTACAGGGATCAAGAGAGATATGTTGAGGGCTATTGTAATAACCAGAGCGGATAAAATGATGGTGGCTTGGACTTGGGTGGCAGCAGTAAAGCCAACAGGTTTTGCTGAAGGATGGATGTGGAGGGTTAAGAGAAAGTGTGAACTCTGGGAGCCATCTGTTGAAAGCGGAAGATTGTGTTAGGGGCAGATGTGGGAGTGGAGGCTCTGGAGGGGGTTGTTTTGGATAACCAAGTGGATACTGGATATGCAAGTCTAGCGTTCAGAGAGAGATCTGAAAATCTGAGGAAATAAATTGAAAGATGTAAGTGAACAGACTATTTGAAATATAATAATGCAGGTAATACCAGAAAAAATAAAGCTGTAGATGTCTTTTATTATAGGTGTACTAATTGTCAGGCATTATTCAGGATCCTGTACATTGGTTCAATTAATGCCAACAAAATGAGAAAGAATGTAAGACAAAAGCACAGGTATTTACTATCAGGGATCCGAATAGCCAGTAGTTCTGTTCTCTAATCCACTGTTTCAGGGAATTCTGTCCAGGTTTTAAGATGCAGCCAAAAAACACCTGTCCGTCTCCACCTCTTCTTAGGGTTGACAGTCCAAAGGTCCCTCCCACACTGGGATCGACTGGAATTCCTCCTCTTTCAACCTCCACAGCCGCGTCCAATCCTCGGGCTTGCGCACCCAGACCGGTTTGCGGGGGGCGGGGCTTGGATGAGCCGGGCGCTACTGCAGGTTGCTAGGAGACAGAAGGGTTTCCAAAGCCACGACTGTAGGACTCTCGCTGCCCAGCCCTCTGATCCCGAGTGGGGAACAAAAGCACCTCTGCGCTCTCCTGCGAGCTCCAGGCGGGGTGTCCCACTCTCTCCAGGTCGGCTAAGCGGGGGTGACTTTGGAGAGCTGGACGAGGGTGGGTGGGAGCTTTGCTGAGGGAACAATACCTAACTGCCCCGCCCCTGAGCGCCCCGGGTAGAGCCGCTAAGCCCAGGCTCCGCCCCTTCCGCTTCTAATCGGTTCAGAGGCTTGGCCCGCTCGCTTTCCTGTTTAATGAGGATCTTACTTGCTTTCTGGAGGTTCGGATTCCGATATCCCAGTAGTTTCCCAGCCACCCCTCGCCCCCTTTGGCTTTAGGGGCCGTGATTCTAGGGCTTCCTCCGAGAGTTCCTGCCGCGGGTCAATCACTGGATCCCCAGGTTTTTTTAAACTGTATTTTGATTTACAATATTGCAGTTGTCCCCATTTTTTCCTCCTTTGTCTACCTCCACCCAGCCTTCGCTCCCCCTGCCACCACACTGTTGTCTCTGTCTATGGGTTATGCATATATGATCGCATGTGGAATCTAAGGAACAAAATTACCTAACAAAAGAGAAACAGAGGCGTGGACACATGGAACAGGCTGGCAGCTGTCAGAGGGGAGGGACAACGGGGACTGGATGAAAGCAAGTGAAAGGATTAGCTGAAGAATATACATGGATCCCCAATTTTTAGAATACCTCTTCAATGTCAGCCTTTCCTGGGCGGATTTTTTAACATCCCCACCTGAGGACGTTTTTTCATTGCTTTCCAAGAGAGAGGAACATCAATGTGAGAGAAAAACATCAATTGGTTGCCTCCTCTCTGGGTCTCCACCAGGGATGGTACTTAAAAGATCAGCATGTGCCCTGGCTGGAATAGAACCCACGACCTTTTGGTTTGGGGGATGACTGTACAACCAACTGAAGGCACTGGCCAGGGCCAGGCAGATTTTATCTTACACACATAACTAACTGGTGATTTCTGGCAAAAAAAAAAGTGAGGCACCGGAGAAGACAAGTTAATCATTTGTGTGGGTGTGCGGGCAGGAATGGAGTGGCTTTGGGCTGACAAATGCAAGTTACCACATTGTGGTTCACCTGTACCGTGAACCACAAAGGCCTATTTTGTGAACCAATTTTGTTTTTCAGCTGAACACCCAAACACTCTGGAAGGGAAGTGTGAGGACTTTAGAGACTGTCCAATGAGACTTTTTCAAGGTTCAGAAAACTGAGGCCCAGGGATTTTGATTGACTTGACTGAGCTACATGCTAGTTGACAGACCCTGTGCCATATCCTGCTGTGTCTGGGAGCAGGAAAAAATAAATAAAAGGGGGAAAGAAATGGAAGATTACGGATACTAATGCTGTTGAAGTTTTAATCCACTAGAAGTAAAAGCACTTTTCAGAACCAAAAAAGGGGTTTTTCACAGAAGGGAGTTTGAGGTGACTGGTGACATCAAAGTCTTCTTTTAGATTAGATCAAACCTTTGGTTGTTATGGATTCGATGTTGCTACCCATGTAAATCCTAATACTGTTTAATAAAATTTGATTTTCAAAAACTGGAAAGTCAGGCATTGCCATTTCCTGGTCGTGCAGGTACAACAGTATCATAGAGATCAAATATATTTTATATAAAATATTTTTGACAAGACTGTCAGCAGTTAAATTTCAAAGTGCTGAATGTTACTAGCAGCATTAATACTGCCACTCAATTTTCCAGAATCAATGAAACATTTAATCAATAAGTTGTAAGTTGATCTTTGAAGTTTCATTCTGTTTTTAGTAAGTAGAAAGTTATGAGAGACAAAAAAGAGAAAGAAATATCTTTCTTTTTGCACCACAACTACAGAATAGTTACAGTAGCCACTAGGGTTTGTTGTGATGAAATGTGTTCATGATTCCTTTAGCTATTTGGGGAAAACAAAGTTTTAAGATGCCTGATACGTCTACAAGAGGTGTATTTCTCTTGAGAAAAATGGCAGTCTCCCTAGTAGTTCAACTAAATACAGCGTATTTTCTCCTCTTGTAGTAAATGTAGCTTTTTCTCCACATCTAATCAGTTGCCAGATCCTTTCAACTCTTCATGATATATCTTGTGTTTGTTTTTTGTTTGTTTGTTTTTAATTTCCCCCCTTTTATTTGCTCTCACCTGGACATGTCAATGATTTTACAATTGATCTCTTCACATGTACTTTCTGAGTTTGAGCTTTTGAGAAACAATGTGATTATACATCCATGCCAGTTGCTTGCTTCTGAGGCACAAAAGATTTAGTGAGTCTCAGTTGGTTAAGAACAATGGAATATAAGGGTGGCTTAGGAAGGTATGTTTTCTTGCTTATCCATTGGTATAGAGATCCCTTTGCCCTTCTTAGGTGGCCTGCAAGTGGACACATATGTTTTACATCATGCTGTTAGTCTGTAACATACCTATACCCACTCTCTCCAGCATTGGCTTTTATTTTTTTATTTTTCAGTTATAGTTTATATTCAATAATTTTTACTAGTTTCAAGTATACAGCTTGCAGTACTTCCAGTACTCACCTGGTACCATATATAGTTATTACAATATAATTTACTATATTCCCTATGTGTACTTCACATCCTCAGGACTATTTTTTAACTACCAATTTGTACTGCTTCTCAATCCCTTCATCTCTTTCGCCCAGTCGCCCAATCTTCCTCCTCTCTGGCAACCATCAGTCAGTTTGAAACAGAAAAATTTGCATTCTTGCTGCCTGTCATTACTAGAACCAATAAGTAGAGGCAATGATTGAATCTTTATGGGCGCTTCATTCAGATGCGAATGATCAGAGAAGATGGTGGGTTGTATACCTACAAGCCATCTTAATATTTCATTACGATTAATATTTAGGTTGGCTTAATATTTCAAGCCAACTTTTTTATAAAGAAAAGGTTAGGTAAGGGTTTGGAAAAATGTTTAATCAGGTAAGAATTAGAGTCTGGCATGATTTTCCTAGTATTTCATTATATGCTAATCAACAGTTCTTTATCTGCATAAAGTATGTTCCCTCCTTGGAACACAGAGGCTTGCAGACTCCCTGGGGCACAAAGGTTGAACTGTTTGTCAGCCTCCTAGAGGTGCATAGATCCTTGTAGTTCTGGAATAATAGCTTTCCACACACATTTATCACTTAAGCCTGTCAGCTATAACTACAACTAAAATCTTTAACTCTTGAGTCCCTCTGTCATCTTCTCTGTATCTATGAATCTGCTTCTATTTTGCTATTTAGATCCCACATATAAGTGAAAGGTTATTTCACTTAGCATAATACTCTCCACATTTTACTTTTACTTTTTTTTTAAATTTTATTTACTTGTCTTTAGAGAGAGGGGAGTGGTGAGAGAAAGAGAGGGAGAGAAACATTGATGCAAGAGAAAAACATTGATCAGTTGCCTCTTGTATGCACCCCAACCTGGACTAAACCTGGACCTGACCTGGAATCAAACTGTCAACCTTTCAGTTTGTGAGATGTCTGGGCCAGCTATTACTTTTAAATCCACATATTTATAGCTCTTAGAAATTGCAGCATAAATGGAAACAGTCGTACTATAGATGCACACAAGATTTAGATACACATATAAGACTTGCTTTATTTGTGGTATAGGCTGAAAAGATGTTCATCCCCCTTAAGGTTGCTCCTTAGAAATTAATCTTTGGGCTTCTGCTTTTAAATATATACAATCTTCATAGAAAATCATTCTACACTTTGCTAAAAGATGGAAATTTCTCTAACACAGTTCTTATCAACACTCTTCATTCTTCAATATAGGAATAAAGAAATAATAATAATAAAGGAATAATAAAGAAATTTCATTTCCTAAAATGCAAGGTCCTACACAAGTTGATCTAAACCTAATATTTCAATAGTCTTCCACAAATCCTTTTTGGAACAAGACAAGATATAAATACATCAATGAACAAACAGTTTACCAACCTTTCTTTGCAAAGGCCTCCATCCTATATGTAGAACATTGTAAGCCCTCTTCTATTTCTGCAACTCTCTTTTTCTCATAATGCCCTCTTCCAATGCCCACTCACATTTTTATGTCTTTGCTTTAAAAATTAGGTTGAGCCCTGGCTGGGTGGCTAAGTTGGTTGGAGTGTTGTCCCATACCAAAAGGCTGCAGGTTCGATGCCTGGTCAGGGCGTATATAGGAGGCAACCAACTGATGTTTCCCTCCCTCCCTTTCTCCCTCCTTCCCTCCCTCTTTAAAATCGATAAACATATCCTCGGATGAGGATTTTTTAAAAAGGAACTAGGTTCAAATTCACCTTTTCCTTCAAGTATTTCTGACTGCCTCAATCCATAATATAACTCTTACTGTGGTTCGAGTCTCTGTACTGATTGTAACCTTTGTTCTCTGTCTCTCCTTCCTGTCATTCCCCAAGTTTTAATAAGTCCCTTGTCACTGTGTCCAAGAATTACTCAGCCATTGGAAGTTTTTTTTTTTTTTTTTAAGATTTTATTTGTTTATTTTAGGCGGGGGGGAGAGGAGACAGAAAGAGAGGGAGAGAAACACTGACGGGTGAGAGAAACACGGATCGGCTGCCTCCCGCACACCCCCAACCAGAGGACCTGGGCCCATAACCCAGTCCTGTGCCCTGACTGGGAATCAAACCTGAGGCCTTTCTATTTGCAGGATGACACCCAACCCACTGAGCAGCAACAGTCATGGCTGGGAGTTTTTATTATTTTTTTTATCCAGATGGCCAGACTTCTGAGCGTTAATGGCACATTACTCATTCTTCACTGAAAAATTGTCCCTTACATCACTTGCATTAAGGTCTTAATCACCTCAATCATAGAGGGTCAGCAAAGCAACTAGGCATCACCCTTTTATTCCCTTGCCCTCCATCATCCCAGAACTTTCTCCTTAGAATGTAGCCATGGTAGGTTTCAGAGGAGGGGGTTTTGCATCAGTTTCACTGTTGCCACCAATCTGCATTACCACCATATTGAAAATGTTAACAACAGGCATAGAATGCTGAAAGGAGCCATACACAGATACCACTTGGGTAAATCAAACAAGATTTATCTAAATAAACACAAGGAAGTTGACCCATTTAGAGTACCCAATAGAGAAACTGCTTGATAATATTAGATAGATGTATGAGATTATAGTACCCTCATGTGCAGTTTTCCTGTGGACACATGCCAAGTCTGAGAGAGCAAGGGTCCCATCAGATCTCCTACGTTTCAGAGTTGCATGATGTCCTGTGCAAAGGTGCACTTGGATCTGAACATCTTATCTGTCATTCTCAATCTCATCAGTTATCTTAGCTTATGCTAACACTAACACATTCATAAGTTAATTCCCATGAGCTATAACAAAAGCTTTTTATCCATATGGCTTTGGGAATGTGAAGTCTGCCAAAACTTTTGAGCTGACACAGGCCCATTCTGTGTAAGATTTATGGTCCCGTAGCAACTTCTGTTTGCACTTTTTCCTATATTGCCCAGGGTTTGTTACCTAGTAGTGTCACATATATTTGTATAAAATTTATATAATCAAATAAGTAATATGTTGTATACGTTTTGCACCTGTAATGCCTAACTTACTATGCTGCATTTACAAATGTTATTTTGAGGCCCTGGTTGGGCATCTCAGCTGGTTAGAGCACCATCCCAATACAACCAGGTTTGCAGGTTTGTTCCTGATCAGGGCACATGTAAGTATCAACCAACGAATGCATAAATAAGTGGAACAACGAATTGATGTTTCTCTCTCTCCCTTCTTCTCTCTCTCTTTAAAAAAATTAATTAAAATAAAATAAGTACCTTTTAAAAGATAAAAATGTCACTTTATCAAGCATTGTTGAACAGTTACTGAGTTTCAGGCTCTCAAGTAAATGTTGGAAATACAAATAGGCTATGACTGCATCTGTGGCCTGCAAGGAATTCAGCATTTTAGCAAGTCAGACTGTAGCAGCCATGACAATGCACTTCTCGGCACTCCCGACAAAAGAGAACCTCCTACTCCCTGCAGTGACCTGACTACCCCCTTGGCTTTGGGATCTAAGGCAGCATTTGAGCTGAGGTCAAGCTCTCTTCCATTAGCTCTCAGTCATTGGTGGTGGTACTAGGCCTGACCATCTTTACCTAAAGCAAGGGTCCTCCACAGGAATTCTTTGTGCCGCATTTCCCCATTGGCCGGACCAAGCCTTTCACAGGGCTGCCCCAAAGTCTGAAGCTCTTCCCACTCAATTCTACTCCTTCTCTTTTTCGATTCACAGGTATCAGGGTGCATCCTGATGTAAAAGCTTTTTCTGCAGATTCCTGCTCCTTCTTTCCTTATGTTTCATAAACTTTACCCCTGATAAATTTCTTTTCAGAGTACCCAAACTGATAACACACAGAAACACAAAATAACTACAGCAGTCTCCCTTTAACTGAAGTTTTGCTTTCCAGGTTTTCAGTTACCCACAGTCAACCATGGTCTGGAAATAGGAGATGGAAAATTCCAGAACAAACAATTCATAAGGTATAAATTGCATGCTATCTGAGTAGCATCATAAAATCTCATGTTGACCCATGACTGGTATGGCTCAGTTGGTTGAATACTGTCCTGCAAAGCAAAACGTAACCAGTTTGATTCCTGGTCAGGGCCTGGGTTGCAGGCTGGGTCCCCTGTTGGGGCACCAATGAGAATCAACTAATCCATGTCTCTCTCTCACATCAATGTTTCCCTCTCTTTCTCCCTCCCTTCCCCTCTCTCTGAAAATAAATAATAAATTAAGTCTTTTAAAAAATCACTTAGTACAATCTCTCACTCACCTGCTCCACCGTAGCCAGTATGTGAAGCATCTCTTTGTCTACTGTCACCGCACTGTCCCTGCTGCCTCCCCCTTAGTCGCCTGGTAGCCATACGGGTTATCAGACCAGTAACCAGAGAGCGGGAGAGAGGCCACACTTATGTAACTTCGATCACAGTGTATTGTTATAATTGTTCTCTTTTATGATTAGGTACTGTCCATTTCTCACTATGCCTAACTTATAAATTAAATGTTATCATAGGTGTGTATGTATAGGAAAAAACACTATGTATAGGGTTTGGTATGTCCAGTTTTCAGTCATCCATTGGGGGTCTGGGAAGCATCTCCATGGATTGGGGGGACAACTAATATAACTATTTTTTTCTGGTGTTGCTCACTAATACATCATATTTATTCTTTTCTCCTTTTTGAGACCCTCTTCACCCATTATATAAAAATGTAGCATTTTAATTTTTTTTAAAGATTTTATTTATTTATCTTTAGAAGGGAAGGGAAGGAGAGAAGGAGAGAAACATCAATGTGTGGTTGCCTCGTGTGTCCCCTGCTGGGAACTGGCCTGCAACCCAGGCATGTGCCCTGACTGGGAATCGAACCGCGATCGTGTGGTTGGTAGGCCCACACTCAATCCATTGAGCTACACCAGCCAGGGCTAAAAAACGTAACATTTTTATATGTATAGTTGACATGATTTTTTTGTTTGAAAAATGACAAAAGGTTACATAGATGACCTTTAGGAAAGTGCTTTTTGAATGAACATGAATAAAGCAAAAATGACTTGGATATAACAAAGTGAAGATTGTACCACTACTTTTAAGAGTTTTGTGCTCTACCAGCTGAGCTAGCCAGGCGCCTTTACCACTGCTTCTAGAAAATGTGCTTCATCTGTAAAAGAAACATAAGTAATAGAGCCACTGAATTCATATAAAAACCTGACTAGTTTTTGAAAATGTACTTAACATAGTGAATTAGCACCTTTTCCCCTTTCCTGTTCTTAGTACCTTTTCCCCTATGGAATCGTGTATGTTAATGGGCCGTTGGGCTGTAGCATGTGTCCAGCCCACTTGTCCGCCTTATCTATCGAGCATGGTGTGCAGTGATGAAACCGTGAGCCTCCCCCGCAAATGAATAGAATTGAAGGACAAGGGTTTCACTGAAATACGGTTTAGCTACTGTTTTGTCAGGTATTCCAAATTGTACATAAATTCATACAATGACATAACAATGTATTGCCTTAAAATGCAACGTGAACCTGAACCCAAATTAATAAATAAAGATTGAGGTTTTAAAAATGTCAGATATTACCAATACCTTCCTTTTGTTTGGTCTAGTCAATATGTGTTGGTATGCACATTGCAAAAAATGTAAAAACAATACTAATGATATATCCACTTAGGTAAGAACTGTGTGACTCAGATAACTTCATTTCAGTTCATTTAAATCTGGAGTTAAGTCCAAACAACTTCAGATTGTTAAATAAGTAATGTAATAAAAATCTAGATGAAGTAGGAGGAAACATATGACCAATTAACTTATATTGAATTTATTGGGGTGACATTAGTTAAACAGGCTCAAGTGTACAGTTCTCTTATCCACCAGCTGTATATTGCATCATATGTTCACCACCCAAAGTCAAGTTTCCTTTGGTCATCATTTATCTCCTTTTACCCTCTTCTTTCTCTCTCTGGCCCCTTTTCCCTCTGGCAGTCACCATACCATTGTCTGTGGGATTCTCAACTCTCTTAATTATTTTTAAATACAAATTTTGTTGATTCTTAAAGGAACTTTCACATTGTCACTGTTATGTCATCTATTAATTTTGTTTTAATATCTTTCAGAATCAATCAGTAATAAGACCTTTGCAGCCATGGCGAGTTCTGATGTGAAACCAAAATCAATAAGTCGTGCCAAAAAATGGTCAGAAGAGATAGAAAATCTGTACAGATTTCAACAAGCAGGATATCGGGATGAAATTGAATATAAGCAAGTGAAACAAGTTTCTATGGTAAGTTTTATGCCTCTGAACACCTGAGCTCAAAATGAGTTTGTTACATGGTAAAAAGTATGAAAACAAAACAAAGAACCAGAGAATAACTGAAAGGGAATTCTTCTCCAACTCTCTCATTTTATTCAAGAGAAGACTAAGCCTGGAAGTGACTTTCAGGCAGACTGGGGGGAAAGGTGGTTCCGCAGCACACAAAGAGCTGATTTTCTAGCTTTTATTGAACAACTATGCTCTGTTAAATGCCAGTTTCTTTTTCATCTTGACCAGGAATTGTAAAAGGGTTAAATTCTGTTTGCTATGGTTATTACAGTTGACAAAAAAACATTAGAAGACAACTCCTGACGCTGGTTATGCTTCCCAGGCTTTCTTGAGGGATTAGAGACATGACTTCGCTGTACAAAGACCAGATCAGAATGCAGGCCCCAGTGCATAGTGGGCTTTGTAAATAATTCATTGACCAGATACTAGGAGACGGAGCTTTTAAGAATATTAGAGAATGTGATATGTAGTATTCATAAATATGTTTGCATGCTCTGATTTGGGTTACAACAAAATTTATTATTAACTTATTTATTTAGTATTTACTCTCCATTTAAAAAAAAAAGTTTTCACCTGAGGACAACCTTATTGATTTCTGACTTTTAGAGAGAAGGGAAGGGAGGGAGAGAGGGAAAGAAGAGAAACACAGATGGGTGAGCAAAACATCAATTGGCTGCCTCTCGTAGGTGTCCCTAAGTAGGAACTAAATCCACAGCCTGGGCTTGTGCCATGACCAGGGACTGAAATGTGACCTTTTGGTGTGAGGGACGATGCTACAACCATCTGAGCCACACTGGCCAGGGCTATACTCCATTTTTTTACACTAATTCCCGTGTGGATTTTTCAGATCTCTATATTCTTTTCCTTCAATCTACTCTTTGATCTCTACTGAGCATAGATGGAACTGGAGAGTATTATGCCAAGTGAAATGAGTCAGTTGTGAAAGACAAATACCATATGATCTCGCCTTTGACTGGGACATAATCAACAAAACAAACAAGCAAGCAAAATAGAACCAGAGACTTGGAAATAAAGAACAAACTGACAGTGACCAGAGGGGAGCGGGGGAGGGGTAACAGGGGAAGGAGGAGGAGAGGAAAACAAAGGAACACGAGTAGAGGACTCATGGGCATGGACGATGGGGGGATGACTGTAGGAGTGGGGGTGACGGGGCAGGGGGGAGCAATGGGCAAAAAGATGGGACAACTGTAACTGAACGCAATAAAAAAAATAGGGAAAGGAACTGGAGGCATTACAGAGCTAAAATGTAATAGACTCTTTAATTTAATGGACATTAATCTGACAGACAGTAGGGCTGGTGAGGAATGAAATTATAAACATAGATCAAATGAAGATTTGATGACTAAGATATTCATGTGTACTCGTCCCTCAGTGTCCCAGGGGCTGGTTTCAGGACCCCTCAGGATACCCAAACTCATGGATGCTCAAGTCCTTATATAAATTGGTATTTGCATATGCCTATATTTTCTGATAGGGTATAGCAGGGTGTACCTATACGTCACTTTATCTGTGTGGATTCAGTGCAGTACTTGGCATATGGCAAATTCAAGTTTTGCTTTTTGGGACTCTGAGATTTTTTTCAAATATTTTCACTGAGTGGTTGGTTGAATCCGCAGATCAAAGCCGGCAGATACAGGGAGCCAGTGGTGCCAACCTTCTGACATCCAACATTTTCCTCTGTCCCCATGACCCAAAGGTGTCGCATTATTGTTGCACCGATGGCTTTTAAACAAATGCAACACAAGCATGAAAATTTTAATGCTGTTCAGAAATAGGCTTCATACCTTGCCTTAAGATTGGGATGCCCCTAAAAGGTACAGAAGATCCAGGATCATAATGACAGGGTCATACAGGCACAGCTGCACCTATATCCCCACAGCCAATACTGTTGTAACTGAGGTAAAAGCAGATCTAAGGGGACAATAAGGACATCCTTAAAGCGGAAGCCCCCAAAAGCATCTAAGAAGGGTGTGTGTGTGTGTGTGTGTGTGTGTGTGTGTGTGTGTGTGAGAGAGAGAGAGGAAACAACAACCTTATTCGCTCTGTGACTTGGCGACGATGAAGAGGTTCTGCGTTTCCTGACAGTAGTGTATGCTTATTAAGCACCTACCATGTGCAAATTTCTGTGCCAAGCGCTTTCAGAAATAAAAAATATAAGCACACACCTTACCTCAAGAAATTTATCAGGCCAGCGGGAAGAGTACAGGACCTGTGACCTGGCCCTCCCCCCCGCTAGTGGGGTAATCCCAAACAACGTTCTTTGATTTCACTGAGCTCAACTGCAAAATGGTTATGGCGGTGCCTCTGTGAGACAGTCACAGCAAACAAATGGAAGCATGGGGTTCAGGTGCCTGACAGTGTAGTGCTCAGTGATCATTTGTTGAGTGAATGAACAGGAAGTGTTTAATGAATGACAGTTTTTATTATTCTTATATCTTGAAGAAGATTGAGAATGACAAGAACAAGAAAACCTTACACAAAGCCAAAAGATAGGCCTTAAAAAAAAAAGCACAGGAATTCAGAGGAAGATAAGTGTCCCTTCCTCTGGGGATCATCCTTCAAAAATACTTCATGCCCCCGGAGGCATTTGCAGTGGGCCGTAAAGGATGGATAGGGCCGGGGCTGAAGGCTTGTCTTGAGTGGCACGTGCCAGCAGCCCGAAGGGTGGGAGCAGAGTTCTTAGTCCCTGCCTGAGGCGCTCACCCTCATGGGCAATGTTAGTGTCGCTGCTCTCCCTGCCTCAGGGGAATTGGACTTCAGGACCATGCCACTCGTGCCTATATTCTCTCAGAGGTGAAGGATTTCTAGATTGAGTGGGAGTGACTAAGTGAAAAACCGAGAAGAAAAAAATTATGGAACAGCAAAGATATTGATGAGTGCAGAACCAACGTAGCTGTTTGGAGGCTGTGTCCCATAGGAGGTGGCTATGGGCATCCTGTGGAAGCAGCAGTGTATGTACTGTTTCCTCCCTGCATGAGATGCTGTTCGAGACCCTAGCAAATGAAAACGAACCTGCTACTGGCCCCAAGAGGAAGAGAGCTGTGATGGTGCCTTGAGAACACCTTCCTTTCTCTGCCGAGGGCAGTGGAAGCTTCCAAAGGCAGGCCTGATCTAAGTGACGGAATTTACGACTTACAATGTATATGTCAGAGAGCCTGCCAAGGCTCACATATGCTGCCACCTACTTTTGCTGCTTCATAAATAAATGAGACAACAGAAGAAAATGAAAACGTGCTGTTGGAAATAAAGGATATATATTCCTTTATATTAATATTCCTCTGGAAAATTAGGATTTATAAGAGGGGACTATGACAAAGTGAAGCTGCCTATACAGATAGATGGTGTTGAAGAACAGGATTGGGTTTCTCTAGACCATGAAACCTGAATAACAGGTTTTTGACAATGAGAGTACATCTCACAAAATCCAGTAAAAAAAAATATCCAAGAAACACACTGACCTGATTAAGAGGCCATAACATGAGTCTGAGAGGAATAGGAGAAAAGTGTCCAAACTCGATCAGGCCAAACAATAAAGAAAGCCAACCAATAAGCCGTACGAGAAAGAATAATGGTGGGAGGTAAGAAAAGGTTGCTGAGGACTATATCACGACCTCAAATTTCTATCAAAAACTGAGTGTCAAGGTAAACTTGAAATACAGGTGTGAGGAAACACCCATGGCCCATAGATACAGTGAGTCAGGCTGCTTCATTTAATCACCCTCGCCCCTCAATAGGCAGCTGCGGGTGCTTTAAGAAGGGGGTCCGGGCTTTGCACTAATTTCTTCTGGGGTGTTGCTTTTCGAAGTTAGGAAGTAAAAACATTTGAAATCATCTGTAAACATAAGAATGAACTTTAGACTATTTTAAAAATAAAGTTTAGAGCATTGTAAACAGAAGAATACAATTTACAGTATCTTGGCCACTCAGTAGAAATTTAAATCTAAAAATTGGAATCCAGAGAGAAGCACTAAATTAGTTGTTTTGCCGTAAAAGGATGCAACTTAAGGTTATGTGTTTGGGGGGGTGTAATACTCTCTAAGAGCTCAAGTATTTTAATTTTATACTTTACCTTTTCGATGTGAGTTATACTTTTAACTGTTTGACAGCAAAATATTATATAAAATAAAACCACATGACAATGTTTGTATTTTGGTTTTTGACACGTAGGTAGATCGTTGGCCAGAGACAGGCTACGTGAAGAAACTCCAGAGAAGGGACAACACCTTCTATTACTATGACAAACAGAGGGAATGCAAGGACAAGGAAGTCCACAAAGTGAAAATTTACGCCTACTAGGCCTTTGTTCTTTGTGCTACTCGTCATAACCTTTTAAGATTTCATCGCTAATGCTACATCATGTAAATGTCATTTTACAAAATAATTCAAGATGCAGACTTCCATGGAATGTTCTGAAACACAGAAACCATGAAACTTGGTACTTATTAACCATTCTGTTCTACCTAAAATATAACAGCAGAAGCATTAAAGTTGTACCTGTCTTGGTCCTGTGCTTTTGATGACTTTAACTGTGGTAAAATACCATCATGCACAGGAAAAAGCTCCATTGGAAACCCTTCCCCTGGTCAGGCACATTCTGTACAGGCTATCGCTCTACCCGCACATCCCTCAGTGGTCACCGCTTTACAAGCCCATCACTTTATACTGTCAGATCTGCATTTTGCAGCCTGAGGGCTTCTCTTGCCTTCAGGAGTCCTTTGCCTCTTGCTGAGTAGATCCCAAATGCCAAGTTATGATGCCCCTTGGGAGCAACCCTCTGCCAATGACCAACCAAAGGGGAGGAGGTGGATAAATGCCCAGCAATCTGGCACCTCGGGGGGAATCCATCCCAGGTGTATGTTTTACACCAACACCCAGTTTCCCCAGCAGAACTAAGCTTCAGTCACCTGAAGCTGTATCTGACCTGGCAACATCCACCATCGGTTGTCTCCCTTCCCTGCAGGTTCCCCCAGGCCTGCCAGGGGTTCTTACTCTCCTGACTCAATCCCTTATATTTGACATCTTATCCCAGGGTTGACTTCTGGGCCCCACACCTGGACAACTTTGCTCCAGTGCTGCCCAGAATCGCTGCAAAAGCAGCCTAAGTGCTAATGCGTGAGGAAGGCAATAATTAACCTGTAAGATGTGAAGGGTCCCCCCCAAATTAGTGACTCGAGTGCTTTCAGATTAAATGGGTAAAATATATCCTTTTTACTTAATTCTTTTGTCACTGATTTTTTTTAAATTCATTACCATTTACAAGTTATGACCTTTCATAGATTTTTTTGTAGAGGGGACTTGTATCCATCAATTCATTCAACTTTGGCTCCAGAACTATGCCCACATGAAGATTCGTTTTCCCAACTCAAAGTGGTCCTCCTTCAGCACTTTTTCTCTCCGAACAAACAAATCATTAGATTTGTTTGGCAAGCCTCTCTTACACCTTCTCCAATGTTTGAGATCATCTCCAAAGACATCCAGATCCTTACCCCGGAACCTGTGGATGTGGTACCTTAACATGGCAAAACAAACAAACATGCAGACACAATTAAGTTAAAGAACCTGAAAGGGCAAAACTGTCCTGGAACATCTGGGTGGGGCTAATGGAATCACTTCCATTGGTGATGGAATCGGAGGTCTGAGGGATGCAAGGAAGGAGCCAAGTGCCAAAGAATGCATCAGACCTTTAAAAGCTGGAAAAGGCAAGAAAACTGATTTTTTTCTAGATCATGAGAAGGAAGACAGCCCTAACAATACCTTGTTTTCCAGGTTTCTGGCCTCTGGAACTTAGAGAGAATAAATTCATACTGTTCCCTGTGTGGTAGTTTGTTACAACAGCAATAGGAAGCATACACAGATGGAGCAGACAGCCATCTATAGTCTTGGGATTGACAATGAGCTTGAATCACAGTGTGACATTTTTTACCCTAGAACACAACTTATTACAGATAAAGGTGTGGTACATATATACAATGGAATGTTACTCACTCATAAAAAAGGATGAAATCTTGTCATTTGTGAGAGCATGAATGGACCTAGAGGGTATCATGCTAAGTGAAATAAGTTCAACAGAGAAAGACAAATACCACATGATTTCACTTCTATGTGGAATCTAGTAAACAAAATAAATGAACAAAAAAAACAGAAACAAACTCATAGAAAAATTTGATGGTTGCCAGATGGGAGTGGGATTGGGGGGAAATAATGAAAAAGGTGAAGGGATTAAAAAGTACACATTGCCTGTTTAGCCCTCCCCCTAGCGACAAAAGGCAACCATACATTGATGTTTCTCTCCCTCTCTTCTTCCCTTCCCCTCTAAAGATAAATAAATAAAATATTAAAAAATAATAAAATAAAAGCAGTCATGGGGATGTAAAGTACAGCATAGGGAATATAGTCAATAATATTGTAATAAATCTGTATGGTGTCGGGGGGTACTAGACTGGGCTGATCACTTCATAAATTATATAAATATCTAATTACTATGTTATACACCTGAAACTAATATAATATGGTATGTCAACTGTAATCGTAAGGTAAAAAAAAGAGAAAGAAATGAAGCATCAAGTCCTGAAAAGACATGGAGGAAACATAGATGCGTATTACTAAGTGAAAGAAGCCGCAGCAAAACTATATAGTCAGCAAAAGAATCAGTGGTTGCCAGGAGCTGGGGAGGATGGAAGGAAAAAGAGGCAGAAAAAGAGGCAGGGTAGAGAGGATTTTTCTTATGGCATACAGTGACACCACTGTATGAAACTGTAATGGTGGGGACATGTTATTATACACTTGTCATAACCCATTGAATGTAAACACCAAGAGTGAACCTCATATAAACGATAAATGTTGGGTGACAATGAGGCATCAATATAGGCTCGCTGATTGCAACACTGTGTGTACCCCTGTGTTGAGGGGTACTGATAGTGGGGGGAGCTGTGCTTGTGGGGGGGCCGGGGGTGTATGTTAACTCTGTGCCTTCTGCTCAATACTGTTATAATATAAAACTACTCCAAAAATAGTCAACTAAGAAAACTATGCACCTAAAACGAAGGAAATGAGCACATGCTTGCTAACTGTGCATTTGCCCAAGGTGAATGGTTTTCACACCTGGCTGCACACTGAAATGGCACAAGGAACTTTCAGTGTTAATGCTGATGCCTGAGCCCCCCACCGCATTCCAGTTCAACCAAAATCTCTGGGAATGGGACACGGGCATTGGTTTTTCTTTTTAAGAAGCCAGAGCGAAAACTCCCCAGGTGGTTTTATCATGTGATCAAGGTTGAAAACTATTACCCTAGATTCTTGCTTTCCACACAATTCGGACCCAACTTTCAACCATCTCCGGACTGCCAGTGTCAAGCCTGGATCCCAGACGAGCACTTGGCACACGGAGGTATTTTCAGGTACGGCTGTGGAAGAGCTTCCGTGACATGTGAGGCTGCAATTCACCCTGAGCAACATTTCGTTGCCTGAAGGACAAATCAAAGTGGGGCTCACCAGGGCACCAAAGTAGCAACAACTTCACTCTTTGAGACCGGGCCAGTTAGAGGGGACTCTAGGAACCCTTAAACACTGCGGCTTTGCCCTGGCCAGTTCAGTTCTCAACAAGTTTTTCTTCTTAAAAATTCTTCTTAAAAAATTGCAGGTATTATATATATTTTATAAAGTGCATAATTTTCAGTATAGTAGTATGTGCATATAGTGTACAAAATAATATATACATTTATATATGAGGAAGAGTGCTCAGAAACTTTTTAATGAGTTTATGATAAGAAATTGTGGAGGCAACTGGTACTAAAACATTGCTCATGATATAGGAACCACACCCACTTACCCCGTTGCCCATCATATGATACGTCCTCAATATGGTTTTTAAATAAATGAATGCAGATGATTTACCATTTATTGAGCACATATTATATTCTCTAGTCATTAAGCTCTTATTATACAATATTTTCTTCAATAATATTTTAAAATTAAAATTACAGTTGACATACAATATTAGCTTCAGATGTATAACATAGTAATTAGATAGTTATATAACATATGAAGTGATCACCCTAGTAAGTCTAGTAGCCATCTGACACCAGACATGGTTATTATAATAGTATGGACTGTATTCCCTATGTTGTTCTTCACATCCCCGTGACTGGTTTTGTAACTGCCAATTTGCACATCCTAATTCCTCCCCCTTTCCCACCCATCCACACCAGCCCCCCTCCCACCTGGCAATCATCAAAATGTTCTCTGTATCTATCATTTTATTTCCATTCTGTCTGTTCATTCATTAAACTTTTTAGATTCCACATGTAAGTGAAATCAAGTGGTACTTGTCTTTCCCTGACACATTTTAGTTGAAGGAGAAAAATGATCACCCTCTCTGCACAGATCCTCCTCACTGCTTCAGCCGGTGCTCTGTCTGGTACCCCATGGCAGTCCCCCTCAGCGTGCAGTGGAGTGCCTGACTGTGTGGCAGGAGAGGGGCTGTGAGCTCTTCACAGTCTGGTTCCCTAAAGACGCTCTCAGCAAGAAGAGTGATTGTAGAAGCCCCCATCTACACCCTGAGTGGGTCGGATGCCTACTTCCAGCATGCCCTGGGGCCCTCGGCCCCCTTGTCAGGGGAAAGAATTTAGAGCTAGGAGGAGAAGATACCAGGTTCAGGCTGGTGACTCTAAGAGCCCCTATCTAACTCCACCAAGAGTAGAAACATATCATACACTCCCCAGATCTGGGAATTTCTTCTGGCTCCACCTCCTACTTTTTGCTTTGCATTGTCTCCCTTTCCCCCGGGTTTGATCCCACATTCTTCATCTCTGCACTGATGACCTTTTGGACTATGGGTCAGGCTCTTTTACTCAGAGTATCTTTTTTCCCTTTATGATACTGCTTCTCAGATTGCCCCATGGCTCCATGCACTCACTGCAGCCTGAGAGCTGAGATGGTCCCAAACCCTGAACATTACCAGGTCCTCTGATACCATGATGGAGCCTAGGCCTTACCTGTCCAGGGGGAAGAAGGGGAACTAGACCCTAAGCCCATGGCATGTAAGGTCATGCTGCTGAAGAAAGGGGAATCACCGGTAGACCCTGTGATGCCTAATTTTACGGTTAGCTATGGGTGCCCAGATATTTGGTCACACTTTACTCTGGTGTGTCTGAGAGGCTGTTTTTAGATGACATTAACTACCATATGAAATGGTAGACCGAATAAAGCAGATTGCCCTCCCTAATGTGGGTGGGCCTCACCCAATCACTTGAATGCTTAAATCAAATAAAAAGGCTGCTCTCCTCTGAGGAGGAAGGAACTCTCCCGCCTGACTTCTTGAGCTGGCACATCAGTCTTTTCCTTTCTTCAGGATGGAACTAGACCTTCGGCTCCCCCAGCTTTGCTGTCTGCACACTGTGGGACCGTCAGCTGCCATAAAGGCCTGAGACAATTCCTTGTATCTCCTGATGGTTCTTTTCTCTGGAGAACCCTGACTAATGCAGCCCTCCCAGGGCCACAGTCCAGTTAAGAAGATAATAAACTCATGTTGAAGGGAGTAACAGAGCCCAGCAGCACAAATAAAAAAAACATGAATTTTATAGAC